GTCACGGTCTCGCTCACGAATCCTCACGCTATACACACTCTGCATTACCTGCTACGATACTTTAGTTTATCCATCCTCGGGCAGATTTCAGTCGATGGAATTCTTCAAAATCTGTCATTGCAAGAATGTCATTATACGCGATCTATGCGAAGGCGTTATCTACGAACATATTTTTTTGTATAAGTTCATACGTTAGTGGAATAAATGTGCTACGAACGCTTATCGTTGATGATAGTGTGGCCTCAGTGATGAATACTATTGATGTTAATGGAATAAACACGGCTTGTAACCACTGCTCCGCTTTGTACTGTAGTGTTTATTGAACGGCAGCGGAATGATTGCATACAGCAGCCGGAGAGAAACAGATTTCTTTATTTAAGTTTGTGTCGCCGGCACGTGGTCCGCTCTCTCCGTCTCTCTCTCTTTAGTTTTTTACGATCAGAGGAAACAAGAAGATGCTCGGTGTAGTCGGCACTTTGCTCCGTTCATCATTTCATTTTTTTATGCTTTGCTTTGTGTAAACTCCCCCCCCCCCCTTTTAAATGAAAGACCCAAAAAAAATTCTTTTTTTTTCTGCTCTCCTTACCCCTTCCCTCTCTCTACCCCCCTCTCTGCCCCCCCTCTCTCTACCCCCCTCTCTCTACCCCCCTCTCTGCCCCTCTCTCTCTGCCCTTTCTCTTCCTACTCCATTTGGCTCTCTCTCGCTCACTCTCTCTCTCTCTCTTTTTTTACTCTCTCTCTCTCCCGCCGTGATCGACACAGCAGGTCCAGATTTAAAAGCAAAACAATATATTTATACCATTCGGGGACAGATTTACGTCAAAGTTGCGATGTGTCCTCATCCCCCTTTAACATATCGCTCACAACAAACAAACACGCCCGGTTGAGATTACCGGGGCGGGCAACGCTTCATCTCATCCAAAGTCGTGGGGGAGGTGGGGTGGCAATAACCAGTCACCCAAATAACCCTGCCGCTGCTCAATATATAACCCACTGACGATGGCACCTAAAGGACGGTTGCTGTTTTTTTATTACCTGTTAAATCCTCCTGCCCAAATCGCCACAGCTTACTACACTCCATGTACGATACCGTATTCAATTATTCAAATAGACTGTTACATTTAATTATTTCCCTTCAACGTGACTTTACCGAAAGAACCAAGAAGATAAATCCATGCAGTCACGAAAGCTTTAAATCAAAATGGAACCAATTTTATTGATTTCCGTGAGCCAATAAGTCAAGAGTCAATGCACATTACTTTAATTAGCATTGCTTTATTCGTATTAGCTTAACATTATGCAGCTATGCTCCATGTATACTTATCCGTATTCAGCTTTGGAGCTCTGAACATTTCTTTCCTAAACTTATTTCTGAGCGTGGCCTAAGCGTCCAATCCCCGAGCCAGAATTGCATCACGTGTACCCTCGTCGACAAGATGCATCAACCCCAACTTTGAAAGTTCAACCACAACACGTTGTAACGCAGTGGCAAGATTCGATACGAAACTCTGACTTGGCAACCAGTGGACTGCAACACGCTGCCGAGCGCACAATTACGTGTGCGATTCACCGGCTATTTCATTAGCTGCGTTCATTCTTAAGAGGCATTATGGGCACGTAATATGCCTTTCATATTTCTTTTGAGCCGGTTTCATTAGTTTTACCAACCAATACTTGAATTTGTAACGCTAATACGTTTGTTGCACGTAAAAAAACACCGTGTTTTTTTTTGTAACAAAAAATGGTTCAGCAATATGATTTGATTGCAGACAATTTGCCATTTAAAATAATTGTTTAAAATTCCAAATAAATGACCCCAATTTTGTTCCAACAATTTCCCAAAATCGCAAAATATCTCCTATATATAAAAAAATGCATGGACACTCTAATAGGCCCTTTGTTCTGTGCAGAAGAAAGGATGGGATAACAAAGCAAGTACACACCGCGTAATTATAAAACTAAATGCATTCTGTGAATTGTTGTGAAAAAAGGCAAAACGGATATCCCCCATGTCCCATTCGTTCCCTCAGTCTGGCAAAGTAGTGCAAGGCAAGTTGTCAGGCATGACCCATTATTATATATTTTTCGCAATAAATGTGGACCCTTACCTACAAAACAAACAACCAAAAAACTCCCCAAGGTAATGCGAGTGAGCAAAATAAAATAAAAAAAAATCCCCTCCCTTGAAAAAAAAAGCCACCTCTCATTCGTGCTGACATATTTTGTGAAGAGGCCCCAGAATCCCTTGCGTGTTTTTAAGCCGTGACTAGTGCTCATATATATTTTTTTGCCGCTGTTATTTCGTTTTTTTTCCTTTCACAGTAATCTTTAACCCCCCCCCCCCTACTGCTCGGTGCCAAAACGCTCGTCCAGTGGTATATTTTTAGCGCTGGAATCTATACTATCGTGCGGTCCCTTCCTCGCGTCGGTCGCTTGGGTATGCGTCAGGTCAGTGGGACTTGCCTGCATTATACACAACCTTGACAGGCAACTCAAAATCCGCACGCCAACGTCGACAAACAATTCTGGGATCCCACCGCTCTCAGGTACAGTGCTCTCTCTCTCTCTCTCTGTTTCCCTCCTCCAATTTGCCCGCTTCCAAAGTGTTCCCCTTTCAGAGAAGAACTTAATCATCTCTGCCGCTTCTTGATGCACATTTTAAAAGTTTTATGGGCATCGTTTAGTATCCCTTAATTCAGCTAAGATGCTGATTAAACACAATCATGTACTTGTTTCACTCCGTTTAAAACAAATTTGCACTCAAACATTGAACAGATGCATATCTGCTGCCTTAAATAAGTGGTGAAAAATCTAAAATTTTCTACCATTTTCTAGTGTAGGCCAATGAGTTTGAAAGACAATACAAATATAATTATCAGAGCATGTTTATTTGCATGTTTTGTCACAAGTACAGCATGTGTGGTTCATGCAGACTTGATGCCTTGCAATAGGAATCTATTTTGTGTTTGGACATCTTAACACCTGTTTTATTGCCAAAAGAGTAAAGCCTATCCTTAATTTTTCATAATTTTTTTTATTTTGAGGTGCCGTGGTGTGAAATTTCTCACCTGGTATAAAGGATTACATGGGTTCGATCCCGACGCTGACGCCTGCTGTCTATTTGGAGTTTGCATGTTCTCCCCGTGGTCGTGTGGATTTTTCTCCGGGTCCTCCGGTTTTTCCCTCCACATTTAAGAGCATGCGTTTAAATTATTTAGCTGCTATATATTTCACATAAGCCACTTCGTTGAGTTATCAATTGTGGCCAAGTCGCTTCTGAAAAAGAGCTATAGAGCTCAGTGGGCCTTTTCCTGGTATAATACAATTTAAAAGTTTAGTTTAATGGAAAAAAGGTCCCATAGATAAATATATTTTTTCTGTCGCAGGGGGGCAACTATACCCATATACCAACCACTTGACTTCAGAGCCTTAAACCGAGGTGCCTGTTTGGCAGTGACGTCAACATCCGCCTAATACGGTTGGGGGGCGGGGGGGAGACAAAGGTGGTCGAACATGATGCAAGACGCTGTGCTGTTTGGCGGCCACCCCACTCCCACGGTCGCATTTCCGGCGACCTCACGTAACATTTGTTCGCTGTGAGCACTTTGCCCCCCCCACCCCCCGTGCAGTCTATGCCGGCTATTTGGGAGGGGGGCGGGATTGTCTCGATGAAGTATTGGGTCATCGGTGGAAAGCTCATTTGTTTGGAATGCAGTTGCTGTAGAATGTGCGCTGGGCACGTATGCAGCGCGTGTGCTCGTGGGGAGGGGAAAGTCGCCCCCCGCCTCATAACCCCCCCCCCCCCCCCAACATTGAATATGAAAACTGAGCACCGGTGCCAATCCATTGGCAGGGGTTGAGAGACGAACCCCTGCGGGGCAAGCCGCGACTGCGTCTCTGTCACTCTCTGCCATCGCTGGAGGGTTTCGCGCCGCGCATCATTAAAAGGGGGCGGGCGGGCTTGAGCAGAAAGAAAGGAGCGAGAAAAAACGCTCGCTGCGAATTCGCCGTTGTCCATCACGGGCTCGGTGGATGCAGACGCCGCAGCCCCGCTCTGGGCTCTACGCCAATCGCGCACACATCTTTTTTTTTTTACCCCCCCGACAAAAAAAGAATTCACGCCCTCGGTGCACAAAATCCGCTGTTCACTTCTCAAGCTTTTTTTTAAAAGCCACCGAGTTTCCTGTCGAAATTCATGAACGTGCAATTATTTCATTTAAAAAAAAAACACGTTTAGATTAGCTAACATTTTAGGAAAATACGGCTTATCGGAATAGCCCAGTCTTAAGTTTGGGTTGGGCAATTATGTTGGCCACCCAGGCTACAAAGCCACGAAAAAGGGCATCGACATGAATAGCCTGTACCCGATTGTACGGATGTATCAACGCGTGACTGCAATGGGTAAACACCACAAGCCACATCACAGAAAACAAATGACAGCCAACAACAGTGGCGTTGTCACCAGACCGATTTCTTTCAAGGGGCACTGCATTTGTATTTCACCCTGGCCTTCGGCCCTGTCACAGCTTTAGTTGAGAAACCAGATTACAAAACACAAACATCTTCGCCAAGGTGTACCAACGCACCATTCCCTCGCGTACCCGACGTCCGCGGTTGGCTACATACGGTTCGGAAGACGTGCAACATACTTACAAAGCTCCGCCCCCCCTCCCCACCCCGCCAATTACGGCGGTGTGCAGACCGATCGCGCCGCATAGAAATTAAATGTTTTTGGGGGTGCTTATTTATTTGCTGCGGCACGTATGAGTGTGTTTCTTTCCCCCGCAGCCCGGCGGTCTGGTCAACAGATGGCTTTAGCGGTCCCGCTGAACTGTGAAATGGTGCAGATGGCAGGTCTGCCGAACTGATGAATTTAATGCGCTTCTCAGCCGCGCACTCACCGCCAGACTGCTAAACAGTTACGCGTTCAAGTGAAGAGAGATTAAAAAAACACACAACAAAATGCAGAATAATAAAACAACGATTCCCAAACAGCCTTGAAGCCTTATGGCGCCAAAACGATTGTGTGCAGGTTTATTATTTTTTTAACCATCATTTAAATCTCGTCAATTACGAAAATCCGCCAAACATAAGCACGAGCCCATTTCGCTTTTATTTATAACATGTACAACTTAGTGTTCATACCAACGTTAACGTTTGATGCAACTCGCAAAGCAAGCCAAGCAGCCAAGCTCAGCTCCCATGGTGAATAGAATGAACGAGAGCATTGTTCTGCTTTTAAGCGACAGGTTATTCCACATCAGCTCTTTGCTGGGGTCATGTCCCCACATGTCTAAACCCTGCCAGAACGATACTCCACCAACCCTATAATAAACAGTGCACGTCAAAGTCAGCCTAGAATTATGTATACACGCGACGCACAGTAGACTTTGCCTAACTTGTTACAAACGTAAGTAAAAACAGCTCTAGAATATTTTTTTCGCCGCGATATATTTCCAAGCGTTCTGTGTGTACAATACAAACACTACCCACACATCCTTCTGTCCTTCTCTCCGCCCCAACGCGCACTCACTCGGACGGACGGGGCACACAGAGGCTCGATCGGGGGACAGCGTTAACAGGTTTCTCTAGCGGTGCCACTCCAAAGCGCGAGCGCGCCAAGTCCGCGGTGGAAACCGAGCCAGGGCTAAGTTGGCGTCGAATGTAGAGCGTGGGGGGGGGGGTGGCCCAGCTGCCCACCGTGGCGCCTCGCTGCTGCACTGCCACATCCGCCGCACCCACTGGCCTGTGTGTATGTGTGTGTCCGAGCCCTTTTCTTCTGCAAAGCCGTCGGACTGTCTGTGAAATGGCTCTAGGCTTTTTGAGAGAACAATTTCCTGGTCCGTAGTGCACAGGATGACATAAAAGACATACTATACATGCACAATGCCTATCCTCTTTCCTCTCCCCAACCCCTACTCCCCATCCTCCAAACCCCCCCACCCACCCCATCCTTTGACACAGCAGCAGCTTTTTTTAATTTTAATTTAAAATCTCACGGCATGGTGGTGGTTCGGTGTAAAATGGTAAAAGGGCTCCGGGAATGCGCTTGCTAATACGAAGCGTGTTCTCGACGCGTCTCAGGGCTTGACCCCAGGTGATTTCTGGAAGTAGCTGGAGATTTTCTTCATCATGATGGTGGGGCTTGAAGGCTGGAAGGAAAAAAAAGCAATAATGTGTGAGAACGCGTATTACCGCCAATCGGTGTGTTTTATACACAGCGGTGCAGTTTAATTTACCTGTCCATTTACCGCCACGGCACAGAGTAACGTAGTTGCCTCGTGGAAACACGGAGAGTCATTGATTCGTCAATTAACATGGCTTCCTGTGCACACAAACAGTGCCTCAAATACGTATGTCGAAGAATTAATCATTAATTTTTTATTTGAATCTTTCACGGCTACAAATATGAATTTGTACTGCAGATTATTTTTTTCGGTACAGCCAAAAAGATCACAGTAAGCATGAATTATTATGGATGCGTACAAACTTATAAAAAATGTTTACTTGGGAATAGCAGTCAAAACGACTAAAACACTACAGATGCAACAGTCAGTACAGATGGGAGAGTACGAATTTGAAAAAGGGTAAACACGATATAGATGTACAGTAGAGATGGTACAAACAAGACAACAACAAAAATACTAGATTCAAATCTTCAACCCAAATCATGAAAAAACAATCATTTAATTGTAGTGGGGGGGATTACTTTGGGGGTAAAATTGAGGGTAGATTTAGGGGGTGTCCTGGACAAAACTCGATAACCCACGAAAATGCTCCATTGTCCAGAAATCAGGGTTTTGTTGAGAGTAAGATGATTACGTGAATTATTAAGTTCATTGCGTGACCATCAATAGAAATATAATACAATCATTAGTGTAAAATGCGGATTGTCAAGTATGTCGATGAGGCCGTGATAGAATCATGAAATAGAATGTGGGTTATCATATACAGTATTTCCACGACACTCAATGGTAACATTCCTAGTGCTTCACTTCCATAACGTCACCCTGTAACACTTGACTGTTGGAGCTAATGCTGTTCGCCTGTAGCGCCTATGAAAGCCGGCATGGCAAGCAAAGAGTTGACGTGGTAAAAGCACCACACCCGGCCACCTTTATCATCTCAGTGCTGATGTTTGCACACATCAGCAGCAGTTACTCATTGAAGGCCGAGTCAACCTAGCGGAGGCCCATACGCAGCAGAGATATTTGAAACAGAGTGGGAATCGGATCCAGGTCACCAGGTTTGTAATGCGGCACACTAACACACGACACTGTCGCCCTGTGCACAAAACAAACAAAAAGGATGCGCCTCATCCGACACTGGAAAATCAGCTCACCTTGTCTGGCGATTGCGCCATCTCAGCACTGCCCTTGGCTTTGCCACGGAGGCTCCCGGAGCGTGCCGCCGCCCTTCCCTTGCTCTTCCCTTGCCCCGCTCCCCGAGCCGGCGTCCGATCGGCGCCCTGGTTCTCTTTGTTCACGCTCTCCGACTCCGGGGGACGGCGTGACGAGTCGGCCTGGGGAGAGGGGCGGCCGCTCCCCGTCTCGTCCGTGACGAGGTCGGAGGTCGGCGGCAGCACGGCCGCCACGCCGGCGGACTGCGGGCTGCTCGTGAAGTTCTCGACCCCCGGGACGACCGCGTCCTCCGTCCGCGCGAAATCCGCGTCGCCGCCCGTCGGGCCTTCGTCACGCTCGGGCCTCAACCTCTTGCACACTTGGCTGCACAGCTCGCTGCACAGCTCGCTGCACCTCGCGCCGCTCAAGCAGCTCGAGTCTGCGTCCACGCCGCCGCCGCCGCCGCCGCCCGTCTCCAGGCGGCGCTTGGCCCGCCCGGAGGTCGGTCCAGCGGCGGCGTCACGGCGCGACCCCGTCCTCTTCCTCTCCGACGACGCGCCGCCCGCCACCTGCAGCCACCGCGTGATGGAGAGGGTTCGAGAGCCGGGCGAGAGCAACGCGGAACCGCCCGGCGTCGCGGAAGACTGCACGTGGGACAGCGGCGTCCTCGACGTCGGCGTGGCCAGGGCGGCGCGCGACCCCGACGGCCCGGACGGTCCAGAGGGCCCGGACGGTCCGGAGGGCCCGGACGGCATGCCGGAGGAGGAAAGGGGGGAAAAGGCGCCGAGCGGAGACGCAGAATCGAGCCTGGAGGGCGCGCCGGCCGGGCTCGGGGTCAGCGGAGCGTCCTTCGGAGTGGCGGCCGACTGCAGCGACGACTCGGAGGAGCTGGGGGACGGCAGCGAGGCGGAGGAGCCCAGCACGCAGGCGGCGGGGCGTGGGGACGTGTGCGCCGGCGCGTGGCCACCGTGGGACGGCTTTGCAGGAGTGGCCATGGCCTGGCCGTGCGCGCCGCGTTTATCTGTTTTCACGCGACGACGACGACAACAACAACACAAACAAAAGACGCAGGGAGGATTTAGGGTTTAGTTTGTTGTCCTATCCCCGCACCTCCGATTATCAGGGTTGGCTACATACGGTGCGAAAGAAAGTTCAACATGCACACATACAATTAGCCGATAACCAAAATTACACCGAATGCACACGATCTCGTCGTATCTCCGAATCAAAGCGGGGTTTAAGCTTGGACGGTGTTTGGATGGGCACAACACGTGTTATAGGCTGCTGTGTGCTTCACACATGTGGCCGGCAGAGGGCATGGCAAAAACATTAGCCGTACTTCTTTGCTCAGTCGCATTGTGAAGTACGGATAAGTAACTCCCCAAGACATACACGGAATGGGGAGGACCTCATCCAGCAGTGGATTGCCGAAAGGGCTGTACATTGTATTTTCATTTGGCATCCCGGGGGAAGGCCCATTTGAGCTAGCAAGCTTTTATTCACATGGGAAAAGGGGTACATTAATGACACAGCAGAACATTTAAATTATTCAACAAAGCGGCACTAAAACAACAAAACATCTTTGAAACAATCTAAAAAAACACATTTCGAGCAGCAAAACATCCAAGTGAATAAGATTCACCACGGACGCATCATTGAAATGAAAATAACTTTCGAAGCATCTTTACATGTGCCGCACTGGACGTTGACTAAATGATATTGCTCGTTGTTACACTTCTTAAGTGGAGATGTCGATTTCACTTTTGTAAACGTAGGTTCGCAGGCGAGGTGTAAAGCTCGCACGAGGTGAAGTACGGTTATTCCTAGCGTCACGAAATTATCACGGTTGCTGAATATACAATAATATAGTATCGTAATAATAATACATTTATTTTTATATTATATCGCTTCATTCATGTTAATAAGCATCCCATAATGTTGTAGAGTCGTTATATATAAGGACCAAATCCCATATATATGGCCACTAACAAGAAAATAAAAACCCCTACTACTACCAAGCAAAATCTAAAATGAAAACAAATTAAGAAACGGCACCAAAACAAAATGCACAAACAACAAAAAAAGTTTATCACAACAAACAACGTGAGTCCAACAGGTTGTACGAGCGGCCACGATCAGTGATGACACAAAGTACGAGCAGTGGAGAATGATGTTACAAGTTGTCCGATCACTTGGGCGCCAGTCAATCAAATTCTTACGGTCATTGCTCTTGGACGCCCGGGCCAGTAGGTCCGATTTCCCTGTGGAGTCCTCAGCTTGGTCAGTCCCACGACTCAGTCGCCAGATCAGCAGCTTGTTGTCGTCCGAACAAGTCACGATCTGACCGGAGAGACACGTGGGGGGGGGGCACATGTTGACCTTCAGCCGTGTCTATCGTCATTTACGCAGAGATAGGCGTTAGTAAATTCAGCCAACATCTGAGCGCAGGACCTTACGTCACCCACATTCATTTAGGACATTGTTATTTGTCCCCGTAAATAAAGTGTAAACGTACATCACAGATGTGGCCACGCAGGCAGTTGTTCCCCTCCGCTCCCAGATTTTGGACAGGGAAGGCAAGCCGTATACACGTGTAGATAGATAGGGAGATGCTGCCGTGGTGTCACGGTTGGCAAACTCGCAATTCATAGATTACCGGTCTAGCCTACGTGTTAAAGTTACCGGTTCGATTCGATTTTCCGATGTGGCAGTTGAAGCAAAAGTTAATTAATTCCACCCCCCCCTCCACCGTCACCAAACGATCAGCGGTATGAGTACACCACACAGTTTGGTGATTGACAGGTCACGTGTGGTGGTGCGGTAAAGTGTGGGTACTCCCACCTCTTCCAAGACATTCGACCAGTTGAGGAAAAGAAAGTCTTAACACCCTCCAAGGAGGAGCTGGATAGAGCAGGGGTGGCCAGCTGTCGTCTCCCGAGCCACATGCAGCTCTTTAATCCACCACATGCAGCTCGATCGGAGGGGCATAACGTAGAATTTGCAACTGTGACAGTACAAAATTAGGAATGAAAGTTATATGATATATATACTTGACTCTGCAGAACTCATGGGTAGTTTGTGTCTCTTGATTTGCTACAGGTTGACCACCCCTGCTCTAGAGCTTCCTTTATTGGAGGACTTCCTCCAGCAGCAATAGCAGCAACAGCAGCGCGAGCAAGCAGTTTTCAGGGACGCGACTTTACTTACAGGTTGATGACCTGTATTGTTAAGCAGAGGTGAGAGAGAGCGCGGTGGTGGCGTGGATACCTTGGTGAAGTCGGTGGGGCACCAGGCGACGGAGGTGACCTCCTGCGAGTGCCATCGCAGGAGCACGGGCTCGGCCAGCGGATCCGCCACCTGGGGAGGAAGGGCAGGAGCCACACGCTGAGCCTCGCAGACAAAATTAAACCCCCCTCAATTGCTAATCGCGGGACCAAAGGCCTGTAATGCAAAGTGTCCAGCAACAGAGCGCTAATGATTACCTATCAGATGACATTTAGCACGTTCCTCGAGCAAGGTTACAAATCAATGTATTATTACCGCCACGGTGGCGAGATGTTAACTACCTCGCCTGGTATAGAGGAGGTTGTGGTTTTGATCCAAACCCTGACAGCTGTATATTTGGAGTATGCATGTTCTCCCCGTGGATTATTCTCCAGGTGCTCCGGTTTTTCCCTCCACATTTAGAATCAACATGTGTTCTTGGCTGCTATAAAATTCCACGTGATAAGCCACTTCTATGAATTGTCATTTGTGGCTTCTGAAAAAGAGCGATATCACTCACTGGGCCTTACCTGGTAAAATGAAAAATAGAAAAATATCTGCCAAACGCATCCTTCACATTGGCTATGGTACCCAGAGGCATAAAGTTAATGGGAAAAATGCAGTGCACGGTGTTAGAAAGAGTGACAAGAAAGCGAATGAACGATGGCGAAAGCGCGCTTGGAGAGAGCCAGTGCGTACAGCAGCATCGACTCTTGACGCAGCACAGCAATTCCTGGTGCCGAGCGCGCAGATCCCACCAGGAGATGGCCGTGTTGGTGGTGGTAGTGGTGCAGGTGGGGGCGGTGTTCGACAGCATCAGGGTCCCCCCTTCACCTTCCAGATGTAGGCAACGTCGTCACTGGAGCCACTGAGGAGGAACTCCCCGTCGGGGCTCAGGCTGCTCTTCACGTAGAACGACGAGTTAAGGTGACCCCGAAACGTCGCCACTGCCCCGGGAAAAAACGAGGCGACACGGGTAAGCGACGGGCGTGCGATGGAAACTCCCCACCACCTACTCTTTCTGCCCACGGGATTAAGAGATTATTATTTAGAATTGGTCTCTCTTGTGGTTACTGATCACTTAAGCTTTGCAGCCACTAAAGGCGCTAAATTCATAACAAATTGCAAGGGGAGGGGGGAGGGGCTTAAAAGCAAGTAACTACTCGTCGATTAAATATCAACTGTTACGCTCACGATAGATGTATCGAATCAAGCGCGTCAAGAGCCAACACATTTATGACTTACGCAAACGATACCGGTAACGATACTTCGGGGCGAGGCGTGACGGATGACATGGCCGTCTGGAGCGAGCGCAACCGTGGAAGGTCCCCCTGCTTACCCGGCGACGTCCTAGCTCCTGCCACGTCGAACATGTACACAGAGTCGTCCGTGCAGTTGGCGAAGAGAAGCGAGGACGAGGCGTTGAGTACGAGGCTCGAGAACCCTGCGAGTACAAACACCGGGGGGCGGGGGGCAGAGAAGTCACTCTCGTGCTGGCACCGGCTAGTATAATAAAAAAAAATCAAGTTTTATCCAACCGTACTATCGGTGTCGCAGCGCAGCATCACCCCGTGTCACCATCTCCCCCAATCTGCGCTTGCGACGATCGTAACGATACACGCCGTGGGGTTCGCAGTGGACGTGGGCGCTGTTTGCAGGAGCAGACCCCTTGTCTCCTGGCGGCGTCATGGGCCACATTTGCCTCGTTTGGAAATTTGACCCACAGGTCACAATCCGAATTTACGGAGCGATTAACGCACACCGTACTACGAGAAAAACTTTCCAGGAGTCGCATGTAAATGAGTTGTGAGCCTCAGTGAGGCATGCCTGCATAAACGAGCATAATATTAACGTGCTGTAGAACGGCCCACAGAAGGAGATATTACAGAACTGCCTCTGAGATTCCTGAAAGTGACCATTTCATTCACGCGACGCCAGAGAAATGTTCATCACATAGTAGACCTGGAGTCAATTATAATTACAATAGCATTGTTAGCTAAAATGACCATAACATGTTCATGTTTTCATTAAAAATTATATATTTAAAATGTTCATTGATGCCACGTCTCTCAAACTTCACGCTGGCAGTTAAATTTAACTTCTCAAACTTCATACAAGCAATCAAATCAATTTAACTTTAATATTAAGAGTTGAAAATTCTGCAAAATGAAGTGAAAATCCTATTTTTTTGTACAATCATTGTCAATTGGGTTGATACCATAAACTCATTGCACTTGAGAACCCGGATTAATCATGGGCGGCTGAAACCCAGATGCAAGGCCAGGATATCAGCCGCACCATCCCTACATTCTTGCATCTCTATTGAGTCGTTCACACTTTGCCCCGCTGCCCATTATTTCACAACACGGACGAACAGGCGGTCAGAACAATGGACGCACAGGGAGCGCCAACCAGAGTGCAGGCACGTACCTCTCTTCCGGGAGCTGCTGCCGGGATAGGGGAATGACTGCGCAGGCACGGGTCCCATCCGGTAGCTGGTGTAGTTTTTGCGCATGTCCCAAACCTTTATTACCCTACGGGAACGAAAGGAAAAGAGGGCGAGGGATGTCGGCGATGCAGGAACACTTCCCAGCGTGCGCGAGCCCGTGTGCATGTGTAAGCGCCGCGGGCAAGGTGTTGACCTCTCTGTGCGTCTTCCAGAAAGACGCACAGACCGTTGTTTATAAACCAGGTAGGAGCCCATTTTGCCAGGGGTGGTGAAGTGGTTCGCACACCTGGCGGCCCGAGTTGCATTCCCAGCCAGTTATCATCAGCGGCGATTGATATCTGAATCAGTGCTAACCAACTTGCACCTGACCGACGTGAAGATTGGCCAAACAAACTCCATGACTGGACACGGCATGGAGAGGCTTTCACCCGGCAGTGGATTGACAAAGATTTCTAAATTGTTGTTTTAAAAGCCTACTGAGACTAAATTGAAAGACTATTGAACCATAAACTATTTTTATTTTACCAGGTAAGGCCCAGTGAGCTATATATCTCTTTTTCAGAAGCAACCTGGCCACAAATTATATCTCAAAGAAGTGGCGTATCATCTAGACATTTATGGGCAGCCAAAAACTCCTATGTTTTTTAATGTGGAGGGAAAAACCAGAAGACCCGGGAGAAAAATCCAAGTGACCACAGGGAGAACAAGCAAATTCCAAATATACAGACATCAGGGTCGGGATCGAACCCACGACCTCGTGCATACCAGGCAATGTAGTTAACATCTTGCCTAGACGAGTGCCTTTTGACCAAATAGTGCTTGGATGAGTGACAACCACAAGCAAAGACAGGTGTAGTCGGCGATGTGAATATTTTACTGCAGTGTAGCAAAATCCATTTATTGTTCTTATTTCACCTTTACCAACCCACACGGACCAGCATGGCGAGGTATGGTCAAAATAACACGGCCCTAAGAGGCGCTCATCCAGCAGTGAATTGACAACGGGCTGTACACGATCACGTTCGAGACTGGACGTCTCTCTTTCGAGGATGACCTTTGTTGTCAAAATAAAAACGCGCGTCGGTATTTCCACGCCAGTCTTTTTTTGTTTATTTTGGTTTCGTGTCGATGGAAATGGCGGGGTCCACTTACCCGTCTACGGCCCCAGAGGAGACGAGAGTTTTTTCGTCCTGGAAAATCACGGCCGTGACGCTCTGCTGGGAGTCCTGGGAAGGGGGGAGCGGCGATGGAGTCAGGGAGCGCAAAAAATAGTGGCCTAACGAGGACGAAACCGGTGCACAGGCGTCTCATTGTCATGTCGATGTCGTCTAAAATTATTTTGCCTCCTTTAAAAGGGAGTTGGCGGTCGAAAACAAGGTTGCACGTGTGTTTCGCGAAAAAGAGCTTTATAGCTCATGGCATTCCTCCAGTATAAAGATTCCGATTTTGATAGGCGCCACGAGCGGCGCCAAAGCGTGCCGTGGTGACAAAAGGATCGATTCGTCGGCCGAATCGCCAGCCGCGAATATCGGGACAAGTCAAGGAATTGCGCGGCGGGCAAACCGTCCCACACGTGCGGTTGACTGGAGGCATGGTCAATCGAGCGCGCCGCGTGACCATGTGCGCCGAGGTCTCGGGAACGCACCACGGAGGGAGCCATGCCCCGCGGGGTGTTGCGGCGCTTCGGAGTCACGCTGATCTTGGCGGGCGCGTTGTGAGCACTGCCGATCCTCTTCACCGCGCTGTAGAACCCGTCTGTCGTCGCAAACATGAGCACAAGCGCACGAATTTCACCCAACGACGCTCGTGCTTAACAGTGCGTTCTCACCCACCCAATGTGCCCTCTTCTCCTATGTTATTCTCCTGCCTACGAACAAATCGATCGCCCCTGAATGTGCCCCATTTTGTCAGATCTCGGAAAGCTAAGCTGGCTTCGTACCGGTTAGAACTTTGGGAGACTGCCTGGGAATTCCAGATCTCGCAGGATGGATTCTTGAACCGATGCGAGTCACGATTGTCCCTCCCTTATGCGAGCGGGTTCTCTCTGGGTGCTCCGTTTTCCCATCATTAACATTCATTAATGGAATTGGGCAAACATCCCATTACAGGGCCATCCTCAAAACGAGTCAGACTGTTTACATGGATGAAGCCAAGTTCGTAAGCTTTGAGTGACACTCCCTGGTGTATAAAAAGTTTTCTCCAGGCACTCCAGTTTCTTCCTACAAGCTGAACATCCATTAATGTAAATGGCCAAAGATCCCAATGGAGGACTCTTCTGAAAAATAATGTTCGGACTCAATGAGCCTTACCTTGGGTAAATGAGTAAACAATTTGCATTGTAATGAGAAAGATGGCGAGATTCTTGATGTGTGCCCGCCAACGTTGTCCCTTATTTTGCATTCTTACCCCTTTTGCTGCATCTGATGTCCCAGACCATGATGTTTCCATCTCTTCCTCCCGTGCAAAAGACCGCTAACATCACAGAGAACAGGAAAGGGTTAAATAAGCATCAGTTCTCGTGAAGCTGTGCGCGGGTGCGAACAATGGCAGTGCTGGTACGCAAGTGCTGAGCTTAGTTTCCACTTAATTATGCTTTTTGCTGGATTTGTTATTGCTTTTTTAATGCCATTCCTCCACAAAAACCGTCGATACCACACGACTATTCGGGGGAACTCCAGAAGTTAATCTTTTCAAGTGTGGATCTCAGTGATCCCAGAGTCTCTAGACATCTTTGCAAAGCTGCTTATATGCTCGAGAGTAATAATAATAATTCTTTACAGCCTCTGGTCAATGCACTGCTGGATGAAGGTCTCTGCGCACCGTGTCGGTTATGCAGATTTGTTCGTCCGTACTTCATCACGCTGCTCAGTGCGGGTTAGTGAAGTTGGGAGTGGAGCCCAGGACCGTTTCAGATATTACTCGCCACTGATGTTAGCCGTGCCTTGGAATACATTTTCACACTCCCACCCTGCGATGTCCTGTATCTGCTGCCACTGCCTATGGTCTTGGGCCGTGGTCGTTCTTTTTTGTGAAAGAGCTGCTTAGCTCAATGGGTCTTACCAGCTGCAATAAAATATGAGTCTGAATCTCAGTTCGCTAGGTTGATAATAGCTCAATGCACTAACCACTGCCCCACCGCTCCCTCCCCATGTGGTCTACGCAATGTGAATGCGTGCCGCGTAGATGTCTATAGGAAATGGCCTGCCACAGCATCCGTGCTGTTAGATTTGCACCTGCGCTCTGGATCTTGGGTTCAATATCCATCAGGGAAGAGAGTGTGCTGGGTGCCTTGCATACCAAGTGCAAGTCTTTTCTGCTTACCGATCCAAGCGGCACATTTATTGATTAATCATTTGTTCAAGAGTAAAGAACGTTCAAACGCACCGACCGCCATAAATCGAGCGCCGCACATGTACGGTTTGTATTTACAGATGACCGCCGGTTGGACACAGATAGGGGGGGAGGGATTGGGGTGTGGGTATCAGCGCACGTTCCAGGTGGCTGGGGAATTGAGGCTAACCGTGATCAAGCTTTCGAAAATACTTCATAAGGAGCGCAAATCGCTCTTTGTTTTTGTACGTTATCAGTCACCGTCTCTAATGGTTTCCTTGCATCGTTAATCACAATTAATCAGTCGGTGAGGCCAGCGTCTGTGCAGTTGTTAGCACGCTGAGCTATGAACCCTGAAATCAGAGTTCACTTCTGATCCACGGCTAACATCAGTGGCGTGCGACGTCCGAATTACTCCTGGGCCCCCACCTTCACCAACCCGCGCTGACCAGCGGGGTCAAGTGTGGTCACATATACCAACACCCCCCCACCAATGTTCACACAGTGTGGGGTGAAAGCCTTCAATTAGCAGTAGTGTGACAACAACAATTATAAATTAATCGGGGGACACATTATGTGCGCACGCAGGACTGCATTGCGGAAGGAGGCAGTGTTGGCCGTGTGGCGCATACCTTTCTCGCTCTGGCTGAACGCCACCGACTTGAGGCTGCACTGGTGACCTTTGAAGGAACCCAGGGCCTCCCCAGCGCACACGTCCCAAAGCTTGGCCATCTGGTCCCCCGAGGCCGTCACCTGCCGTGGATTGGCCGATTAACAAGTGTTGCCTTCACTGCAACCAACGGTCCGTTCTGACGCTAGAAGGACCGTGCCACGATCCCGGATGTACATTTCTACGCATGGGGGCATTATACTTTTAAGATATATATTCTCAACATGAGTAATTATTTTCGTGCTTTGACATCTCAATACAATAAACACACACACCTTCATGCCAGACTCATGATATGTGGGTGTTATGCAAGGCTGCTTCTGAGACGTTTCCTTACGATTTAACTTTCAACATCATTGTCAGTATCATAAGCAGACATTATTCATCCAATGCTGGATGAAGGCCTCCCCAAGCCTTGAGCAGTTTTGCCAAATTTAAGTGGAAATACTCTCAGTGCTTTGCACTGGTTTACATGTGGGTCTGTTGTTTATTTCGACCTCTGAATATTGCAATAGGGCACCCGCGTTGCACATCTATGAATTACTTACGAGCTTAGATTCTCCGGGCATCCAGGCGCAATCGAAGACGGCATTTGAATGAGCCAGCCAAGCTGAAATACGGGCGTAACAAACGGCATGTCAGTTACGGTGACATACACACACCACATAAATTCTCGACCTTTACCCCCCCCCACCCCCTCCAGGGCAGGATTGCCAAGATGAAGAAGAGTAGTGCGGCGAGTACCTTTGAGCACTCTGCTGCCCTTGTGGGGTTTCTCCGTGTCGTAGATCTGCACCACGCCGTCCTCGCTGGGCACGGCCAGCAGGTGATGGCTACCGGCCTCTGTGCAAACGGGGCGAGTGAAACGTCATTGCACAGGTGGGATTGCAGGGAGGGCAGCAGCTGGGGCTGCAGCACTCCCCAGTGGTAACACAGCGACATGCGTGGGCTACTGAAACCAACTCCCCTTTTTCAATGTATGTAGAACTTCTTCTGCACCGTAAATAGCCGGTCGTGCTAATTGGAGGTGGAAGGATAACAAACTAAACACACACGAAGAATAAAGGAGATGCTGCGAATGTCATCGTTACACCGCTGCGAGTTAAGCGCGATAATTAGTAATTAAATTAGAAGTGTCAACTTACGTGCTGTTTTTGTGTGCTTTAACCGAATGCAGTTTAACGTCTTTAAGTGTCTAAACTGTCCTTTTATTTGCCCGAAATTCATATTTGTGAAAGCAGTTATAATTGTTTATTTTGTCTGCACGAGTTATTAGTCCACCCAACACACCGGTGTGCTGTACTAGTGACGAATTGGCACGTTCTGTTTACGTGACAACCCTTACTAGTTGGCTGTGTCGGGTGGTGGCGGGTTTAACGACACATTTATATATTTACGCGATCTAACCCCAAAAAAACCTCTATGGATGATGATATTGGTCGCGAAAGCCTACTACTACGTGTTAAATCGAGTTATTAGTCTCCGTTGCTTCTCTGACCGGCAGGTCGATTGAAGCATACACTCCTTGCAAAACATTTCTGTTTGGTGTTTTAACATTTTAACACCTGTTTTATTGCCATAAAGGGTAAAAACCAATTCTTATAAGGTTGAGAACGTTCGGTTGCTATGACATTTGTCGTATTTTCGCACGTAACAAGGAGGAGGCCGAGAAAATATCACCTTCGTCTTGCCCCCTACATAAGTGAGGCTACCTCCTCAAAAAAAGGGGCATTACGGGAGCTGCCTGAATGTGACTTAAGTGAAGTGCAATCCATCACTCGCATCAATGACCAGTGGCTAATAACGCGCTTCTGCGGGAGGCACAAACGGAGTTCATCATGAAAAATTATTTAGTTTTAGCCATTGAAATGTCACCGAGTCGTAGTTTACCAGTGAGTTGGCCTCGGGTGATCGTGGCCAACCGCGCTAATCGGAGGTGTGGGACAACAAACTAAACACCAAAAGCAGTTCTAAAGAAATAACTTTTCAATATAGATAATTTAAAAGTGCAAAGCTCCAGTGGCTTCCTAATATCGGAAGGAAGAGCGTTCCAGACGGCCGCAGAAGCGCCTCTGAAAGCGCGCGATGCAGTCAGCGTCTTTGCTCCACTACCGGCTAAAAGCCGCTGCTGCGGCTTTTAGCAGATTTCGCTTGAAGATATTGCCGTACGTTTGTGGCAAGCACTTTGTGTGTAATGAGCGCGACCGTGGCGGGGTAGCAGGCAGGTGATGATGCGACGTTGAGCAAGGAGGAAATCTCTCGATACCTCGCGAGAAGGGGCATGCGAAGGCAGGCACCGGGTCGCCCGCCGTGCCGAACACCTTGTGCTCGTCCGGTGCGCGGCACTCGAATCCCAGCAGCAGGGAGTCGAGGGGACAGCGCGAGGAGGGCCCGACTGGAGTGACAATCACGGGGGTAGAGGGTTGGGTTGGGTTGGGGGCGTCACATCAGCGAACGTCACTCGAGCAGCTTGCCATGGGTTTGGAAAGCGAACCCGCCGCTTAAGTGCAAGAGAGCGCGCGCGCACGCTTGGCGGAATGCACGGGTTAACAAGGCTTTAAAGCCATTACGAGCGCATGAAAAAAATGCTGCCGTGTTGCTCACAATGCACACTGCTACGATCTGAAGGCTTACAATTAACGAGGCTCGTTATTAATCCGGAAGAAGAAAATAAAACACTTTTGTGATTATTGCACGAGTTCGTGCGTCGGGATGTTTAGCCGAGTACGCGAATGAGTGTTTGGCGTGCGGGAGGAAACCGGCGTGCAAAACAACACCGGTGCGTACGCTCAAAGCTGCGCACAGATGGATACAAGAATCCATATCCGCACTGTCATCTCTTTCGGACGTGGCCCAAAACCTACAATGCGTATTTTTCAGACGGGCTCCCATCCACATTACACGGTCGTGCGCGCGTCTCATTGGCTTCCGAGATGGGAATTGGGGGGGGGGGGGCATTTTGGTGGGAATGCGACCGCGCGTAAATGAATGCGCGCGAGCTATATACGCACCGATTATAACTGGGTAAAAGGGGTGCTTCGTGCAACACCATGAGCTGGCGACAAGCCAAGCGATGAGTCTGAGCAGCAGTGTATAGTTCGGTTGCCGATGATGTTTAACACGTAGGCTTTCGCGACCATTATCAACCATAATTAAAGGGGTTTTTTTATGGGTTAGATCACGTACGTATAAATGTGTGTAATCAACTATCCACAACAACACAGTTAACCCACGCTCTATGCCCGATTTGCCTGCCACGGGCTAACATCAACGGTAATAGTGTTGGCGAATTTTATCTTAACCTGTCCTGGCCCCCCTTACCGTCAATCCGCACCGACCAGTCTGATGAAACAGAGTCAAACAACCCACCACGAACCGACTCGGCCTAGAGAACCCCTCCTCCATTCAGCAGCAGTGGTGCGCGCTACAAAAGGCTGTTATTTCACCTATTTAAATAATAAGAGTACAGAACTATATGACAAAAAAAATACTTACGCAATTATAATACTACGTATGCGCAGATCGCAGTTGTTCGCACGGCACACACTGTACTACAATACATAGAGCATCATCGGCCACGGTCAATCCGCTGCTGGATGGAATCACCATCCAGCAGTGGCGGTCGTGATCATCCTTCGTGGACGCTGTCCGTTCTTCGAGGGTACGTTTGTTATATGCACTGCACCGATAGCACGGGGGGGTTCGTCTAAAGTAATGGCGCGTAGCACAGTAACTCACCTTTGTTCCGCTTCAGGATGTGTCGGTTGTAAACGCTCTCAAACAGCGACCTACGAGCCATTTGCAACAGCGGGGTCCAGCAGCCACGCAAGAGGAACAGCACAAAACACTGATCGGCGGAGACGGAGAATCAGACAATTCCCGCGGCCTCAACAACCAAAACTGTACTGGGCAATTGCGCGCAAAAGCTTCTCCCGCCTCCTCCAGCAACGCCTCCGGCGATGAACAGGCACACAAAAAAATCCACTTTCCCGCCACCAAAGTTCCCGCGAAGTTCGATAGGCGCTCGCCGATTGGCCGAAGCGATTTGGCGGGAGATGACGCCACGGCTCACTGGATTGGCCACCCCGCATTGCGCCCGGAGAGGGGGGGGGGGTCTCTCTCGACCAATCAGACGGCGTCCTCAGTCACGCGGAGAAAGTGCATCCGGGTGCAGAGGTCGACCGAGTTTATCACGCCTGCGGTGAGTAGGCCGCAACAAATCTTGTCATTTGAAGTTTGAATTTTTTTTACTTAAGCATCATCGTAGTCGTTGTTTGTATTTTAATGTGTATTCCCTAAGTGAAGAATTTCACTTGGTACATTATTGCACGTTGCGTTTGAAAAAATTGGTATTTAACACCATCTCGCATTTGCGTTCACATAAGTAATTATTGATGAAAGCAGTTGTCACCTAACGCAATGATGGAGAATAACCTGAAGCACACAGTACTGCGAATACCATGTTACATTGCGGATGGCGAAGCCTAGAAATCGCTTCTCCACCACCAAAACATTTCTTCCTCATGTCAGCCTCACCCCTTCCCCGTCTGCAAGAGAACACACTCAAGGGAGCCCATCACTTGCCAGGCCTTCACATATGTTGTGATGGCAGTTGATTGCACCGGGAAATGTTTCCTGACATTTCGTCTACGTGCTCTAATGCTGGAGGGCATGCTCTCGTTTCAGTGTGACTCGACGACGCGCACAAACTCTACAGGCTTTCCCCAGCGCAGGGCGTGCCGATCCCACGGCTTGCGTGCCTACTGCGTCTCCACGCCACGACACATCATCACGGGCGATGGCGCTGGCAGCGAACAGGGCCTTGGCCGGAGACACCGTGCTGGGCGAGCAGGAGATGGACGCTAACTCTGCCCTCATGGAGCTCGACAAAGGTCAACTCCCTCTTCTAAATTGTATTGTGGTCGTGCTATAGGCGTGTACGTATGCTGGACTGCTTTCGCACCTTACGTAGCCAACCGTGCTAATCTTGAGGTGCGGGAGGGGGACAACAAACTAAACCCACATCACGGCATGAGGCGAGCACAATCTTGTTCAGAACTCTCTTACATAGCAGGTCATCAACCTGTGTCGGTGAATGGCCTCGTAAGATGACAGTCACATCGCTGCATCTGAAGTCACTTCAGTACACCTCGTTGGCCACTTTCGGGGCCACAGCTTTTAACGTACTGCGCAGGGTTTGTCAGTTTCCAATTAAACACGCATGTTTTACATTTATCGATCTGGAATTAATCAAATATAATCAAATCCTTTTATTTAATTTTTACCATAAGTAATAATACGAATATAAAACCAAATCCAGAATAGCTTCATTAAAGCTTTCGGGAGGTTTCTGCTTTGGGATATTTGGCATTTTCGTTTTAGTGACTCTTTTACATACGAATATTAAACCAAATCCAGAATAGCTTCATTAAAGCTTTCGGGAGGTTTCTGCTTTGGGATATTTGGCATTTTCGTTTTAGTGACTCTTTTACATACGAATATTAAACCAAATCCAGAATAGCTTCATTAAAGCTTTCGGGAGGTTTCTGCTTTGGGATATTTGGCATTTTCATTTTTAGTGACTCTTTTACATACGAATATTAAACCAAATCCAGAATAGCTTCATTAAAGCTTTCGGGAGGTTTCTGCTTTGGGATATTTGGCATTTTCGTTTTTAGTGACTCTTTTACATACGAATATTAAACCAAATCCAGAATAGCTTCATTAAAGCTTTCGGGAGGTTTCTGCTTTGGGATATTTGGCATTTTCGTTTTTAGTGACTCTTTTACATACGAATATTAAACCAAATCCAGAATAGCTTCATTAAAGCTTTCGGGAGGTTTCTGCTTTGGGATATTTGGCATTTTCGTTTTTAGTGACTCTTTTACATACGAATATTAAACCAAATCCAGAATAGCTTCATTAAAGCTTTCGGGAGGTTTCTGCTTTGGGATATTTGGCATTTTCGTTTTTAGTGACTGTTTTACATGTGGGAAGAAACGAGACCACTGAGTAGGCATAGTGGGGATTTCATGACACGTCAATCCTTGCCTCTAAAGCACTGGATCACAGGCATGTGCCACAACCCCAATGAGTCGAGGATGGCAGCAGTACAACAGTGTGTTATAGAAACGTGATCTTGCATGCATATCCCAGATTTAATGTGCTCATGTGGATGATGATCTGTAATCACAGGACTGCGCTCCGGGAAAATTGGGGAGCAGTGCGAGGCGGTCGTCCGTTTCCCGGGCCTGTTTGAAAAATATCCCTTCCCGATACTCATCAACTCGGCCTTCCTCAAGCTTGCTGATGTCTTCAGAGTGGGGTGAGCCCACGCAAGTCAAGCATCACTCTCGCTGCCGAGTAGGGGTGGAATGATGTATCGATTTATTGATTAATATTTTTTTCTTATGCTCCCAATACATGTGTAGTGAATCATTTCAAAGACACTGTTAGGAGGCAACAACGTTTATTCTACACTTTACACGACGCCGTTACACACGGACTCATACGCCTGTCTTTCACTCTTGTTACCCACGGGACTATAATACACCTATCTCTTTCTTATACGGGATAACTACAATCGGGTCAGAGCGGCCACGTGCTATCTGACCCATGATGTCGAAGATGGAGACGAAGACGTAGACGTAGCACCTCGGTTCCACTTCACCCACGGACAGCCCCGATATGCGATCGGGGCTCCCCTTTTATCCCTCTCGGCGCGACCTGGCTCCACCCTCGGCCGCGCCCCCCTTCTCGAACGCTCCCGAAGCTTCTTGGCTACACTGCCCGTGTCCCCTCGGTCACCTGTTCCCTATACCCCTCACCCTGGCCCATCACGCGCTTCACCCGGAGCTGGGGTGACTCGTCCTCACATCCCCCCTCCACCAGCAGCCCTCACCACCTCTGCGCCCACTGAAAGGGCTACCATTCGCAGTAGTGTAAGAAAAATAATCGATTGTTAAATGGAATTGTAAACCTGAATCGCGATAATTAATTGCATTTTATTGAGGTCAATCATTTAATTGTCAAGTATCACCGGCAATGAGTATTTGGTGAGGGAAGATAATTTTCTATGATTAAACATTTTTTATGTATGTACGTAGCCAACCTTGATAATTTGAGGCGTGGGGGAAGGTTTACAAACTAAAGAAAAACAGGATTTGTTAAGACATTCCAGTGGCTTCCTAATATCGGTGGTAAGGGCGTTCCAAATGGCTGCAGAAGCACATCTGAAAGCACACGATGTGGTGACCGTCTTTATTCGATGGTTCGCCAAAAGCCGCTGCGAGGTTGACCGAAGTTTGCGTGATGGTTTATTCTCCTTGATGAGAAAAGGCTCTTATGTGGTGTGACGCACACACTAACAAGGGGCGTCTCTTTCCCAGAAACAACTTCCTGCGGCTATGTGTGCTGAAGGTGACACAACAGAGCGAGAAGCACCTCGATAAAATTCTCAACGTGGACGAGTTTGTCAAACGGATTTTCTCCGTCATTCATAGCAACGACCCCGTGGCCCGTGCCATCACTCTTCGGTGAGCGAATGCTATGAGCTGCTGTCACCCTTGCTCCATTCCTTCTCCTGACATGAACACCTCAATATGATTATAAGTCGAAAAAATAGAGCTCATATCAGAGAGAGCAGTGAGAAAGAGGAATACTGTTTATAACAAATAGAGATCAGTCATTCTTGTCTTATTTATTTTTTTACACATTTGCTGTATTTAGTATGGAAACAGGAACATTTGTGGATCAGAGAACAAATGCAAGTTATGTAGACATTGATTGTTCAGAAAAATAAGAGCGCTTAGGCAGGACAACGTCGCTAAAAGGTTTCATGACCATGGGTTGAGACTAACAAGAAAGATGGAATGATGAGATCACTTGTTTGCAGAAACTAAATGGACATTTGCATTGCAGAACTCTGAGCTGGCAATGACTTAGGAAGGCTTTCATCTAATAGTGAATAAGTCAAGGCTGATCACAATGATGATGATTGTGAAATATTTTTTCTATTCATTTTCATGCCTTACTGTGACTGGTTGACCGTGTGTGTGCCGAGCGTAGGATGCTAGGCAGCATTGCGTGCATAATCCCTGAACGCAAGAACGCACACCACAGCATCCGCGAGAGCCTGGATTCCAATGACAACGTGGAGGTGGAGTCCGCCGTGTTTGCCGCCACTCACTTCTCGGCACAGTCCCGGTACGCGCATTGTCAATCAACCGAACCTGACGCTGTGACGCGCGCCAGTCGCCATTCAGTATGTTTGGCGGCCAAGGTTTGCTGGACCAAGGCGATTTTGAAACTACCAGACATCTTTTTCTGCTTCTTTTTCTCGCACTGCTCAACTTTGGAATTTCCTGTCATTGTCTCTTTCCAACTTTCTTACTGACTTGCTCAGTAAAAATAAATATAAAGTAATCTCTTACACCTTGATTTCTGCTGTTTGTTGATGTCTACTTGGCGTTTTGTCCACATTGGGCTTGTGCTCAGCAACTGTCATTCAAAAATTAAGATACAACTTTATCACTAGCAGATTGTAGTACAGAAAACTAGTCAGTCAACCCATTATGCAGACGTATAAATGTTATCCCTTTGCACACATGGGTTTTCTCTGAGTAGTCCGGATTCCTACTGCACAGCACTCCTTGGAAAGGAATTGGTCAAATATCCCAATGAAGGGACCCTCCTGAAATTTGTCCTTCAAGCTTTCCTGTGTAAACATCTAAAACTATCATGACCAAGTAATGTAATCAATTAATTATAAGCAGATAAGACTGCTTAACCTATCGTGATGTCAGTGGTAGGTGATATTTGAACCAGTCTTGTGCCCCTGTTTCTCCATCCGGCACTGACCAAGCAACCCCAGTAACTGAAATGGCATTGGTGGGGCGGGGGGGACCTTCATCCAGCGGTGATTTGACAAAGGACTGACATTTTTAAGAGCACTTAAACGTGCACTTTACAATGTGTGAGATTGCAATAATATAACCTTTTTTCCAGGAAAGAGCCCATTGAGGCCAGAAATACATTTTGTAAAAGAGACTGGGTCATAATGAATACAATAAAACACCCGACACCTGCCATGTTATCTTGTCTTGGTTCATTATATGTAATATCTTCAATTTTATAATTTAATGATTTCTTATTTTAGAGACTTTGCTGCAGGGATTTGCAACAAAATTGGTGAAATGATTCAAGGTAAGTGTGGTACATTGCACTAAATTGGAAAAAAATTAAAGGGATGTAATGATTTATTGTTTTTAATATGGGTATACCACTATAGGTGCATCATATGCCAGAAGGACCAAAAAGTAATCAATGCGTGAACGTAATCATGACATTTCATCGAGAGTGCTTTAATTCACTAATGTTATTTATTAGAATGACATGAGTAAAATGTTTAATCATTAACATTAGAATATCAAAACGTGTGTTCATGGACTTTAAGTGGGTTTGCATTTACACTTAATCGTGCTGTGCTGTTCGTCGTTGATGAGACGTGGAAGGGTGGCTCAGACATCAGAGCATCAGCTGAGTTGGCACTAAGGTCCTGGGTTAGAGCCACCCATTATTAGACTGCGATCTCAAGCATAGTGAGTTGATGGTCTCAGCCCATTTGCCAGTGACTCCACGTAAAAAAATTACATTAAATACAATAATACACTTCATTTGGTAAAATATGAGCTCTGATAGCTAAAAACATTGTTTTAAGTGTCACGTGACAAATATTTCTCTGCAGCAGGGCATGTGGAAAGTGCATCGCTAGTGGGTGGATAAAAAGAAAGTTACTCAAACAGATCTCAAAAGAAGTTCTGTAAAATTAGCTTTTGCGAGCCATCCTATTATACACTTTGATTAACTGCTTCATGAAACCGTGTGCCGCACTGCTTGGCAAGCATTCGGAATAGATACTTCATCTCGTGTCACGACGCCCATAGCTGCAATTGTAACGATGACACTTGGAGAAAAAAAGTAATGATACCAAAAACAGAACTGAGCCTGCTATGCACAGGACTGGCGACGCCCATGGAGCTGAAGATGAAACTGATCCCCGTGTTTGAGCACATGCACCACGACGCGGGAATGGCGAGCGGAGCGAGGCAGCTGCTCCAACACCTGGCAGCTGCCTACCCGGCCACGGCGGTGCTCGCCGTAACGCTGCACACCTCCACACGCCTCTCCTCCTCCGCCCTCATCGACATCCCCAAACAGGTGTGTGTGTTTGCGCTTACGCTGGCACCACAAGGGGCACAACTGCTGCATCTACCAGTTATCTCAGTCAACCCATGGAACCTGGGTCTGTCCCCATGACCTGTCAGCGAGCCTTCGAAACTTCACTTGGCCTCAAAGTGCACCCAGTCTGGCACAGGCGCTGTAGTGACGTCACCACCACTTAGTGGCGAATGGCGGGTTTTGTTGTTGTACGCGCATCATCAACCACATGAGCGGTAGTACAGCGGTTAGCGCGCTGCGCTTTGAACCCGGCGACCCGAGTTCGATTTCCACTCACGACCAACATCGGTTTATTTTACAACACTTCACCACACTGATCACTGCAGCTTTGTGAATCACAATCAGAATATGTATTTATACTGGAGGAATCCGATAAGTTCTGAAGCTCTTTTTCCACAGATGTCCAGTAAAAAGAGGACCCAGGTTTGATTTCACTCCCCTGAATTAAGTTAGCCAGGGCTGGGAACCAAACTCTGCAAAGTGTACTAATCACTGCACCACTGCTCCCACCACTTGTTCTGTCTAGTGATCAGTAACCCACAGAATATTTGTAGAGTGCTTTAAGTAGAAATCTACTGTAAGGCACTTCATGACATATGCTTGCATAGGCACAGCACATAAAACAACCTCTTAATGCACTAAGTGCTTGCATCTGCATGTTTCAGGCACTTAAAAGGATGCCAGACGGCTCAGGGGACTAATGCCTTGTCAAAGCAAACTGAGCCGGCGGCATCAGAGTTTGGGCCAGCATTAATTAATGTGTAATGAGTCTGATGGTGTTAGTCACCAATAAATAATTACACAAACAATAACATTAAAATATTGTTTAACTTAATTTGGCATATTACACCTGTGAGAATTGATACGTTTTGATTGCCTTGCAAAGTAACCTCTATGCAGATTTTGTGGGATTGTATACTACTCAGTGGATAAGAGGCCTATTAACATGACTTCTGACGTAGTTCTGTGAAGTTATCCTTTGGGGTCGTCTGCCACAGAGGAGTGAACTGGGTGTTGCGAGAGTTCCATTTCATGGCAGAATTATTTTAGCACAATAGGAATATAATTAGTGAAACGAGAAAAACATTTAAAAATAAAAAATTTCCCCTGTGCGTGTAGATAGAGTTATTGCTGCAGTATCTTCAGCAAGATCCACGGAAAGTGATCAAGAGACTCGCCATTAAGGATCTCAAGCTTTTGGCAAAGAAGGTGCCTCACATGTGGAGCATGCAGGAGATCCAGGTAACGTGACGTTACTGCTTTGTGTGAGAACGCAGCAGGAATGTGTTTGGATCTGCGCTGCGAACTCACACGAGCCTGCGCTGTCTGCTGCCCAGGTCATATGCGAGTGCGCCCTGCAAACTCCGTACGACAGCCTGAAGATCGGCATGCTTTCGGTGCTGTCCACACTCGCCGATTCCATTGCCGTTACAAACTGGTTCACTTCAAAAGGTGCGCTTGAGTTTTCATCGCTAAACATTGCAAGCCGACGAACACCCTTTCCATATTTACCACGGTCACGTTTTGGGAAAACCATAAACAGATGAGGGTCTGTTTCAGTGGCAAGAAAATTTATATGTGAAAAAATTACAATAATTGGTCGTTAAGTCACTGCATGTACTTGAATAATTGTGAGCACGCAGAGTTGAGTAATTGCTCATTCTGAGCAGAAAGTACCATGAATTTATAGTTTTGAGCAAGGGTCAGCAACCTGTGGGTCCAGAGCTGCATGCAGCTCTTTAAGGACTGCTTCGTGACATGTTTTTTTCACAACCATCTCATATTCACATGCATTGTGGCTCTTAAAATATAGTTTTTTACCGAATAAAAAATATATATAGCTCTACACCAGGGGTTGCTGACCCCTCGTATAAACAATGAGCTGTATACGACCTTTGACCTAAGTAAAAAATCACCAAATTTATTCACAACGCGAATCTTATTGGGTTTTAGAAATCTCAAATTTTGATTCCTGTGATTTTTTTCATTGAGAGTTGAGAATATAACGTATCCCTATGAGTCACTTGAAAAAAAATACAAGGTCAAAGTGACATGAGTGGTAGGGAGCGAAACCTAATGAGGCTTTAGTTCAATCATGCTATGCAGCTTTATAAGGGATTATAGTAACTACAAAAATAGTAGTGCTTATAAAGAAAAAAAGATTTACCCCAAAAATAGTATAGCCTAGTAGAAATGAGTAAAACGTATTATTTCAGTCAGCAGTTTTTTTTTTTCTTGATTGAAGATGCTGCGAAATTGAAAAGCACATTACATAATTTGAAAGTGGCGAATATGAAGAAAGCTCCACACGGAGCCTGTCGGTTGAAGAAACTGTGGCTCCAAAAGGAGACGACAGTCAGAGACTGTCTTTGATAGAAATTAGGCAGGAGGTCAGAGCAAAGAAGAACATTGTGTTTCAAGGCAATTGGCCAATGTTTTCTTTCAACATTCGTTTAAACAGACGAACACACGGCAAGCACACACCATGAACCAGTTTCAACTTTCAGAATCTCAACGAGAGTCATGTCCGCGCGCATTTGAGTGTGTGTGCCCTGGTTGTTGATGAGTTGTACGTTTTGCTTTGCTTTTTTTTCTTCTCTCCTTTTCCCTCCTGCGCACTCTGCTCTTCGTGTCACTCGATCTGACACGAGAGCAGCGGTTCTGTTGGCGTCCGGCCCCCTTAGCACCCTCCTTCGGCTGTGCCAGGAATGCTGCTTCCACGACAGCCTCGCCATGGCAGCCCTGGCGGCCACCACGCTCACCAGCTTGCTTGTCGCCGCACAAGACTCCCCAGGTACGGAGACGAAATGTACTTTAAGGTGAGCACCTCTGCTTCAGCACGGTTGGCTAAGTGCGGTGCGAAAGAAGTTCAGCATAAATGTGTAAGTGCATAGCATCCTTATGCACGACAAAACACGGTCAATAAGGCATTGCTTGATGCGAGGTGTGCAATGACGGGTTGGTGAAAATTATCCGTACGTTGGCAATGCGTGAATTGTGTGAATTGTTTACTTTACGTTTGTTGAACTTTTTTACCACCGTACGTAGCCAACTGCTAATCGGAGGTGTGGGGGGAAAAACAACAAACGAAACACAAAAAGCAGTTTTAAAGAAATAAATATTGTCCGTCGGAGAATATACATTTCTGTGCATATGTGCTTATAACACAATAGATTATGTAGGCTCATATACATGTATAATCCCTATCTTAATTGCACTGCCAGATGATGACCTCCACTCTGCAGGCTATGGGGGTGTGTTGGGGGTTATTGGAACGTATTTCACCATGCTGGTCATTGTTGGGTTGGTGAAGGCGGATATCATTTATGGTGGAGCATAGTAGAGTACAACAATTGATTTAGAAAATATACCTCCCTCCCCACAACAGCCTACAACACCTGCTTTATGCATGGTGGTTGCCCATCCAAGTACTATGCAGGCTCAACCCTGGCTCAGTTTCTGAGATCCGATGAGATGATTTCTGGATTGATCGGTCAAAGTCTCAATCCTTTCACACTACCATCACATGTAAATATTAAAGTCTCCACAAAATAAAATATATTGGTTCATTAACAAAATCATCACCCTATATCGTGATAGTTCAGTAAATATTGGAGGAGATTGAATCATTACATCCCTACGTGACATGCTATAAAGATAGTGATGGTTAATAATTAATCTGTTTGAAGTCCTTATATATCATTAATGGTCCAGTAACATGATTTTACAATACCAGTTGTCTTATAGTAGTTTTACTCACTCTTCTGCCCATGCAGCGATGCATGTATGTGCGTTTAACTTCTTTCGCATCGTGCATAGCCAACCGTGCTAATCTGAGGTGCACGTTGCATTTGTTGCCAGATGGGGATTCTCTGCAGCTGGAAGTATCGTCCGCGCTGGAGTCTCTTCTTGTGTCGGCCAGTGCGGAGGAGAGCCCTGACTGCCAGGCTGCACTAAAGGTTCCTCTTTCACCCTGTACCTGATGCTCTACTTGACCCTTTACTTCTTTCCAATGCTCGCTACACCACTCTCGAATTGCGGATCCATGGTCACCGCCCCTCCCTACCCCCCTATTTCCAGAGACCCCGAATTTTCGTATGTTATTGATATTTAACAGAGAAACATAATTTAAAGCTTTCTTGTTATAAAATACAGGGCCCAATAAAAAATATACTGAAATTTCGGGACCATGCTCCCTGCTTTGGGAAGTTTCTAAATCCACCTCTGCCGTGCCCCAGCATGTGCTTTTCATGTAACCGTTAGTGCAATTCATTAAGTTGAAAGCATTTCAAAAGGACTTAAAAATACTCCGATATTGTGTTTAATATGCTTATTTTTACAGTAAACTCTTTACTTATCCACATTGTAGCACCATCTGTATTCATAGACTTCATGCATATAATACCACCACTCCACACTGTAGGGAAATAGAGCTTCACAGTTATCTAATATTGTGTGCATTCTCATATGTGCAACTAATGTCATTTTCTGTCAGCCCTGAGGCCAGTTGTGGAAATTTCACATTCCGGTTGTGGAATCCAGGCTCTCCATGGTACAATCAATGTCGGCTTCCCACAAAGTGATATTCATTGTACCAACCCTGGAAGGATTGTTATAGACCAAGTCAAATCCCGACTGGGATTTGAACTTATCGGGTTGACGTGAAGAAAAGGATGAGTGGTGATAGGCAGCCACACAGAGTGCTGGAGGGATTATAAGCCAGCTCAGGAGGACGCAGCAGAATCGGGCATCGGCTGGGCAGGCAGCATCAACGAATGGCTCAAGGAGGAGTGGGAACAGAGAGAGAGATCAGGGGAAGAAGCGCAGAATACAACAACTTGGCAGCAGCGGAGCATTAAGGCAGCACAAACGTGGACAGATTTATTGAAACAGTCGCGTAGACCAAGGGATTTAAAATACATAGCAGGCTTATAAATCTACTGATCCATCATCACCCACGTGTGGTGAGGTAAAGACATTTCTCCAGCGCAAAAGAATAGGCTGAGAGGGGGTTCTCTATAACTCCCCAAGAGTGCAGACACTTCCAGCAGCAGTGGACGTGAGCACATTTATTTGTTTGTTGGAACTTCTTTCGCACTGTGCACAGCCAACCGTGCTAATCGGAGGTGCGGGAAGTAATCGCAGGGCTGCACCTTGATCCAGCAAACCCATGTTGGTTGTGATGAAAGCATCCATATTGATATGCATGTGCCTCGCTCACTGCTACCTTTGTCCCCCTACCCCACCCCAACCCCCCCCGCCCACCTCTTTCGTAGTCGGTGCTCAAGTGCGTGGTGCGCGTGTGCGGAGCGGTGCCGCGGCTGAGCTCCACGCTCGTGCAGGCGCTTCTGTGGCAGCTGCAGCCGGCGCAGGATGCGGCGCGCGCCCTCATCTGCCAGGGCCTGGCGGCGGCCGCCATGCAGAGCCCCGTGCTGGGGCAAGCGATGCTGGGTGACCTCGTGGAGCTGCTCGAAGCCGTGGGCCGCACGCCCAGCCCCGCTCAGCAGCAGCTTCTGGTACGTGGTGTGACCTCATCCCCGCTGCGGTAGCGTTTGGCTCCCCCGCAGGCCCGCCCGCAGCACGCCGTCAAGGCGAGCGCGTGCTCGCGCCTCAGCGAAACGCTGCTGGGATACGTTCATTACACACACACAAAGTGCTTGCAACAAATGAGAACCGCAATGCCTTGTTGATCTCGTCAAGGAGCATAAACCGTCACACGAACTGTGGTCATCCTCCAACACCCCCACTTCACCAGACCGCACTGACAGCTGTGATGATGTTTGGTCAAGCAACCCCCATGACTGACACGGCCTTCATCCAGCAGTGGATTGACTAAGTACTGATAGCGTGAGAGCCACGTGGTGGTAGTCACCACAGTGGGCCCGTGGTGCTTTTCATAACCACGTCATTGTGTCCACGTCTTTTTTTTTCCCCCAGGTTTCCGTGGCCACGGTCATATTTGTTGCCAATCAGAAGGTTTCATCGAGCGAGGTGAAAGCGGCTATCCGAGAACAGCTGGGGGCGGGCGCGAGTGGCTGGACAGTGTACCGCATCGCCCGGCAAGCCTCCCGCATGGTGCGTGTCCTGCAGTCAACCCCCCCCCCCAACTACTTAAATATTAAAACGAAAATTATAGCTCAGCGAAGTAGCTCATGTGGAAATTTAAAGTAGCCAAATACTCTGAACGTATGTTGATTCTAAACGTGGAGGAAATCCTGGGGGACCCGGAGAAAAATCCATGCGACCACGGGGAGAACATGCAGACTCAAGATATACACAGGCATGAGGGTCAGGATCGAACCCACGACCTTCTACATACCAGGCGAGGTAGCTAACATCTTGCCACCATCTCACCTTGTGCCAGGCTTGCGATAAAAGGACACGATCCCACTGCTCAGGTTGCTGTGGTTTGCCGATACTACGGTTCAGCGTGTGATACAATGTCCACGATAATTGTATCATATGTTGAGCTAAGTAGTGTTATGAAGATAGATTTTCTGACAAAATATGCATGAAATAACTCAGACAAGCATCAAAGAAATATTAAAATTTGTGATTTGAAAAAATACGTGGCAGATATAGGACATAAGTAATTAATTAATTTACTAACTATGTGTAACTGGCAGAATGTGCATTTCAGCCTTATATATTTTTAAGTTGCAGTGATCTAAATAATTATAACAGTTATATTGGCTTGACCTCCGGTTTAATTACGTTTCAGTAAATCTTAATTCGTATTTAAAGTACAGTAAAATAGAAGAACAATGCAGTTTAAGTGCAAAACACAATTGTAAAACTGTGGGAAACATATCACAAAAATCATCATTTTGGGAAACTACATATGTCATATTCCGGCAGCGGTGGGTGCCTGCTGCCGGAAGTTTGTGGTCACAGTGGCCTCTGTAAAGTGGCTGGACGGGGGATAACATATCATTGAAAATGTAAGTATGTACAATGAGGGAAAAAAGTATTTGATCCCCTGCTGATTGTGTACATTTGCCCACTGACAAAGAAATGATCAGTCTATAATTTTAATGGTAGGTTTATTTGAACAGTGAGAGAATAACAACAAAAAAATCCAGAAAAACGCATGTCAAAAATGTTAGAAATTTATTTGCATTTTAATGAGGGAAATAAGTATTTGACCCCTCTGCAAAACATGACTTAGTACTTGGTGGCAAAACCCTTGTTGGCAATCACAGAGGTCAGACGTTTCTTGTAGTTGACCGCCAGGTTTGCACACATCTCAGGAGGGATTTTGTCCCGCTCCTCTTTGCAGATCTTCTCTATGTCATTAAGGTTTCGAGGCTGACGTTTGGCAACTCGAACCTTCAGCTCCCTCCACAGATTTTCTACGGGATTAAGGTCTGGAGACTGGCTAGGCCACTCCAGGACCTTAATGTGCTTCTTCTTGAGCCACTTCTTTGTTGCCTTGGCCGTGTGTTTTGGGTCATTGTCATGCTGGAATACCCATCCACGACCCATTTTCAATGGCCTAGCTGAGGGAAGGAGGTTTTCACCAAAGATTTGACGGTACATGGCCCCGTCCATCGTCCCTTTGATGCGGTGAAGTTGTCCTGTCCCCTTAGCAGAAAAACACCCCCAAAGCATAATGTTTCCACCTCCATGTTTGACGGTGGGGATGGTGTTCTTGGGGTCATAGGCAGCATTCCTCCTCCAAACACGGCGAGTTGAGTTGATGCCAAAAAGCTCCATTTTGGTCTCATCTGACCACAACACTTTCACCCAGTTGTCCTCTGAATCATTCAGATGTTCATTGGCAAACTTCAGACGGGCATGTCTATGTGCTTTCTTGAGCAGGGGGACCTTGCGGGCGCTGCAGGATTTCAGTCCTTCACGGCGTAGTGTGTTACCAATTGTTTTCTTGGTGACTATGGTCCCAGCTGCCTTGAGATCATTGACAAGATCCTCCCGTGTAGTTCTGGGCTGATTCCTCACCGTTCTCATGATCATTGCAACTCCACGAGGTGAGATCTTGCATGGAGCCCCAGGCCGAGGGAGATTGACAGTTCTTTTGTGTTTTTTTCCATTTGTGAATAATCGCACCAACTGTTGTCACCTTCTCACCAAGCTGCTTGGCAATGGTCTTGTAGCCCATTCCAGCTTTGTGTAGGTTTACAATCTTGTCCCTGACATCCTTGGAGAGCTCTTTGGTCTTTGCCATGGTGGAGAGTTTGGAATCTGATTGATTGCCTCTGTGGACTGGTGTCTTTTATATAGGTAACAAGCTGAGATTAGGAGCACTCCCTTTAAGAGTGTGTTCCTAATCTCAGCTCGTTACCTGTATAAAAGACACCTGGGAGCCAGAAATCTTTCTGATTGAGAGGGGGTCAAATACGTATTTCCTTCATTAAAATGCAAATCAAATTATAAAATTTTTGACATGCGTTTTACTTGATTTTTTTGTTGTTATTCTGTCTCTCACTGTTCCAATAAACCTACCATTAAAATTATAAACTTATCATTTATTTGTCAGTGGGCAAACGTACAAAATCAGCAGGGGATCAAATACTTTTTTCCCTCACTGTATGTTGAACTATTTTCGCACCATACTTAGCCAATACACTAATCAGAGGTGCAAAAAAAATGATGTTGCGACAACCACATCTGCTACGACAAATATTCTCAGAATCTGAATATTTGTACTGGAGGAATCCGATGAGCTATCAAGCTCCCTTTCATAGATGTCCAGCAGGGGTGAGTCAGAAAGTTACACTCTGCTCTGCGGTGGAGCCCTTTGACCGAGTGACATTTGCGGACCCGCAGGGCAACCACGATGTGGCAGCAGAGCTGTACCACGGCCTGCTGGCGGAGGTGGCCTCGGAGCACTTTTACTTCTGGCTGGGTGGCCTGGAGCAGCTGTCGCGTGGCGAGCAGTGCCTGGCCGCCGTGCGGGACGATGACCCAGGGACGGCACTGGGCTGCCTATCGCGGGCGCTCGTCAGCTACCAGCGCGGACTGGCGTCGCTCACCGTGCGTGCCACCTCATGCCCGTTGGTTTTTTGAGATGTTTAAAATGTCACATGCTTCTGAAGCTTCTGACCACATTACCTGGAATGCACCCAATCTCTTCAGATGTCGGCAGCTAAGGAGGGTTGAACCTTGGATAGTGCTTGGACAGGCGACCACCTTTCCTGTACGGTTCGCAGAGGGCTGTGGGGGCGATGTGGTCAGCAGTAGCTGGCAGTTTAGCAAAATGCATTACTTACATGCTTTTACAGTTATGCACTCCTCCTTCACAAACACACACTGATCGGCATTGTGAAGTAGTTTCAGGGCCATGGGGAGGACCTCGTCTTGCAGTTGTTTGACAAAAAGGCCTGTATGTGTACACGTTTCTTCAATTTATCAAGTGTGTTTTTTCGTGATCACTTTTCATGTTTCCAAATAGTTACAATTTTATTTATTAATTATTGCGCTTAATTTGTAACCGGGTTGAGAGCCCATTGTGATTAACCTAATTTTTAAGAGAGACCTGCCGATTGCAATACAGTAACCGTGATAAACGGTCAATGACAACATTGCATAGAATTTTAAATAATATGATGAGTAAAATTCACCAACCCAAACTGACCAGTGTGATCAAACAACTTCCATGAACCATGTGGCATATGGAGGCCTTCATCTGGTACTGCTTTTAAAAAGGCTTTACAATTATTCAAGACACAAAAGGTATAATCATCAATGGGTGATACTGCTGGACCAGTTTTTAGGCTGGGTGATGTTACTCCATCTGCTGGCCAATGTAATAATTCCATAATGCGTCTTTTTCGGTGTGTGACTTATTTGTAGGGTATTGGCATTGTAAAAAGGAATTACTCATCAAATGAATGAGGACAGATGCGCGTGTGTGTGTTTCCAATTACGTTGCAAAGTTTTCAAATGAGCCGCGACTTGCCATAATCAACCCCAGCCTTTTAAGCTGATTCATAATTGCGATTCATGCATCAATTGACTCTTGCCACTGCACCTCTGCACTCTTGCAATCACTTGTAATTTGTGCGCCGCGCGTCACCGACAGACACGTCGTGAAAAACACACGACGCTTCCCGCTTGTGACCGTGACGAGCCAAGGTGCCAGCTCTCGCTCATGGTGACCGTTAACCCTTTCCCATTACCAACGGTGTACGTGTACTGGAACTGGTATAAAAACTGGAATGAAATGACTATCGGTACCGAGGCTTCTACAAGGCCGTGCGGGAGAGTGTGTGGCACAGTTTGGCGCCAGCGCTCATAATGCGGTCGTGTCGCTGCGGTTCCCCGCGGTGAGTGCAACATCTTTAAAGAGAACGGCGCGATGCCTCTCTAAATAAACTTAACGCTAACCGCTTGCACGTTCCGAGATTCAGCGGTGAACGGGACAATCAACCTGCAACTTGTCGATGTCTCGGAATGGGAATGAGTTAAAGATTTTTTAAATGCAACTCCTTTTTGGGGTCAGTCGAGGTCACGTCCTGAATTAACCCCTCGCGCTCCCAACCCGCCAGGCGGCGAGCACGCCGCAGAACCCGCTGGTGTTCCAGTGCGAGTACGCCAAGCTGCGCGCGAGCAGCATGCAGGCCTTCTCGCAGCTCTTTTGCACGTGCAACAGCCTAAAGACGAACCCCCCGCCCGCCATCGCCACCGCACTGGCCCTCAGCGCCGGGCGTGACCTCGCCTCCTGTGGCCGCATCTCGGGCCAGGTGGGTCCACGCTCCGTATGCACAGACAAAAGTGCTGCTGCCTGGCCCTGCAGTGGCTCCGTCTACAGAGCAAAGTCTTCTTCTTACTTTGTTCTTTCCTCAATGAAAGTTGTTTTGGTCGTGTTTTCCGACTGTCGTTACGTGTCCTGTTGCATATATATGAAGTAGCCAGGAGATGGCAGTACAGCAGTGGATTGAATCTCTTGTGCGGAGCCTGGAGTCGTTTTACCCTCTTATCCATCGCTTTTCCCGGTGTGCCATACACTCAGTATGCGTGTGCGAGTACTCCACATGTTTGCCAAACACTCTTCAACATAATTGGCTAATAATTTCATTGCATGACCCTCTTAAAAAAAATAGGTGTTAAGACTTGCTTTAGGCAAGTCTGAACAAAAGACGTTATCATCATGATAGCCCTCAAATAAATAAGAGCAAATTAGAAATCAAAGTGTGTTTACGCTTTGGAAAGTCCATTCATTGCCCTTTTGGCATTTGACTTGTCACATGCAGCACATTGTTTCTTCACAATGAGTAGATGAAGCAGTGCATGGAGGAGTTCCGGGGCCTGGCAACGCGCTACAGCGATCTCTACCAGTCATCGTTCGACGCCGACCCCGTAACGCTGCGCAACATCGAGCTGTATCCTCCTCCAGCCCTGCACGATGCCCGGCTGTGCGCGGCACCATACGTTGAACTGCCGGAGAGCCCCTCCAGAGGTTTTTTTATTTATTTATTTGACCAGTTATTGCCCACTAAGCTTTATAGCTCTTTTTCAGAAGCGACCTGGCCACAAATGATAGATCAGCGAAGTATCCTATTTGTAAATTTATACCAGCCAAACATCTAAATGCATGTTTTTAAATGTAGAGGGGAAAACCAGAAGACCACGGGGAGAACATGCAAACTCCACATATACAGGTGTCAGGGTCGGGTTCCAACCGACGGCCTCCTGTATACTGGGCGAGGTAGTTAACATCTCGCCACCGTGGTGCCTGTATGATGTGGCTTACTGCATGCTGACCAAAAACTTCTTGGAAGAGGTAGGAGTACTCGCACTCTACCCCACCATATGTTGCCTGCCAACTACTGATCGACTATCTGCTGCACCCACTTGCACTGCTGAGTGGAGAGAGGTGGAGGAGACTTAAAAAATGTGCACCATTGTTTCAACTGCCGCGCTAGGAGATCGAACTGGCGACCTGGATTGCGAGTTGAGTGTGCTCAATATTACACTACTGTCAGACATTTAAGTATTTTACTACGTAAATTGATTTATGTTTCACTTAATTTCTTCTGGTGAGGTTAATTAATTACTGTCATGCTCTTGAAATTCTTTGCACATGAATTACCGTGCCCTAAGATTTGTGTTCTCCGCAGTGTCAAATGATAATTGATGCAAAATGTAATCTCTTATCAGTTTATGAAGTCCGCTGTTGTCCTTGACGATTCATTCAGACATCAGCAGAGCTGTCTTCTAATTGCTTACGTGATCGATGCATTGATTATAAATCAGGAGCTGGGAAGGTGAGCTTTTCTTCACAATAATATACCTGAATTGTCAGTTAATGTGTACAAAGGGACACCAGTGACAAGAATAAGTCTACATTATAGACTGCCAGTACGCTCACTCGGGTTAATAACCTTTGCTACAGTCTACATCATAGACTGCCAGTACGCTCACTCGGGTTAATAACCAGGCTACAGTCTACATTCTAGACTGCCAGTATGCTCACTCAGGTTAATAACCTTTGCTACAGTCTACATCATAGGCTGCCAATACGCTCACTCACTTTAATATCCATTGCTACAGTCTATATCATAGGCTGCCAATACGCTCACCAGCTTAATAACCAGGCTACAGTCTACATTATAGACTGCCAGTACACTCACTTCGATTAAGAACCAGGCTACAGTCTACATTAGTGTTTTTTTAGTTTTTCATTACATTTCTGTTATTTTTATTCACTTTATGTTTTATTTTTCTATCTACGTGACTTTACCGAAAGAACCAAAGAATATGAACACCTTTACCGCATTGAGGCTTAAATTCTGGCCAACAGAGTGGGCCGATTCAAAAAGTTATCGCGGGGTTTTGTATGGGGGGCGAGTTCAGAGTTCCCCCCCCCCCTTGCCGTTTGGGACACGTGGACCCACAGCTTCGGTGGCTACGGGCAGAGCGGGATGCACAAGGCGGAGAACGAAAGCGAACGGGCACTACACGCGGCCTTCGATCAGGTCCTACAGGATGTGGAAAGCCTGCACAGGAAGCATCCGCCGGTCTCCTACCAGGTGTGCACCATCACACCAACCGTGACAACATGCACTGCCCATTGTAATGGGTGGAGTGGTGGCGCCAGTGGTTAGCACGCTGGGCTGCAGACACATCGACCTCGGTTTGATTCCCGATCGCAACTAACATCAGTGGTGAGCGACATCCTTGCCGAATCCCGACCCGCCACCCATCCCCCCGCCCCTCCACAGTTTCGCCAAATCTCACTGACTAGCGTGATGAAGTTTGGCCAAACAACCCTCATGACTTGTATGTATATGTATGTTGAACTTCTTTTACACCGTACGTAGCTAACCGTGCTAATCAGAGGTAGTATATAGATAGTATTTATATTTTTTAATCTCACTGTGTAGAATGTTATATCTTAATGTTTGTGTGTTAATTTGATGATGGCGCATATAGTGGCAGATTTGTGCCAGAAAGAGCGAAAATAATAATTGGCTTGACTTGGCTTCAGACCAGTGTTTCTAAACTCCAGACCTGGAGATTCCCCCTGTTGCAGCTTTCCGTACTTACCAACCATCAGGTATATGCAATGTGCAGTGGCCTCATTTGCATACTGTACGCAAAAAATAAAGATGGGAAATCACAAGGTGGACCACGGTGGAGGCCATGAGGACTGGAGTTGAGAAATGCAGCTTTTCAGCTATGACACACTCGGGATAATTTAAGAGCAGTTGTTGCCTACAATCGTCACTGGCGATGCATTTAACTGTGACCAAGTATGGCAATGGTATGGCGTGACATACCTCCCTGGCGAGTGGGCTTTGCCTGCTCGGATGGGGATGGTTTCGTTTTATTTGTATGTGTTTGGGTGACTTGTTTACCTTTCTTGTACTTGAACTCGTGTCGTGTTTTTGTATTGTTGTAACGTTCTTCCCTGCCCCTACTGGACTGCTGTGAAAAACAGCTTTGTAGCTCATCGGATTCCACCGAGATAAATACATTGTATGATTCTGATTAAAAACACAGTTTGTAGATATTGCGTCTCGGAAAGCATACAACCATTGGTAGCCATTTGAGCTCTTCTTTGTCAGTTATAGAACTTGCCGAGTCTATACCGGTTACCCACGAGGCCAAACAGTAATAATTTTGTCCCAATTGGCCAAATTATATTTTTCGGCAGAAGAAAAGCGTGGCTTCCGTCGCCAGTGACAACCGCTGGCAGTGATTGTCGTACAACTGCACAAATGCAAGTTTTCTCAGAGCAGTGTCCCACAGTCATAGGATCCACGGGTATTGAAACCACCTCTGCCGGGTTCATTCTATGTCTCTATACATAACCAAACAATGTGCACACCCAAAAGCGAGGGGGAGAAAATCCGTAGTTTTGTGTGATATTCATTATCCTGAACCCGCCATTATGTGTCTATACAGGCTGCAGCTATGAATGCCAGGGTGTGTTATGCCACTCAGGGTCTGTGTGATTGTTGCTTTGTGTTTTTCGCAGCACACCGCGTGTCTGTCACGTGCAGCCACCTCCATCCTGAAGGTGCCCCTGTCCTTCCCTCGGCTTTTCTTCCAGAGGTTGCAATCCACCAGCATTAAGGTACAGCAAATGGCCATATGGACACATCCATTACCACCCACTGACGTTCGTGTTGAAATTAATAATTGGCAATTAGTGACTTAGGTGACTCAGTTCACAGTTGGTAAATTATAACACAATGAGGCGTTTCAAGGCTTATTGACTACCCAGCATATATTCTGCTAAATTAATTACCTAATTATTCGTGCAAGCTGTTTATAATTACATGACTATAATTCTGAATCCGTACAAGGATTGTGAGGGTGGTGGTGGAGGCCGTAGTTAATTTGTGCAGTACGATATGAAAATCATGTTTAATTGTTAACTTACTATTTACTGCTGCATGCTGTGCAATAGAAGGGAAAGGAAAGGTCAGGCAATAGGGGGAGATCAAGGCAGTGCTGTCTGCATGCTCAGTGGCGAGATGTTATCTCCCTCGCCTGGTATACAGGTGGTAATGGGTTCAATCCTGACCCTGACGCCTGTATAATTTGGAGTTTGCATGTTCCCCCCGTGGTCACGTGAATTTTTCTCTGGGTCCGGGTTTTCCCCTCCTCATTTGGAAACATGCTTTTAAGAGTATTTGGCTGTGATAAAATTTACACGTGATATTCCACTTTGTTACGCCTTCATTTGTGGCCAGGTCGTTTCTAAAAAAGAGCTATATAGCTCAGTGGGCAATAACTGGTAAAAAAAAATGTAGTTTAGCAAAATAAAACTGCAATTATTAATGCCCTCTTGGTAACCACAAAAAAAACACGCGCAACGAGGTTTCTGCAAGGTCCGAAGCGTGAATTCACAAACGCCGCTCCTTTTCCGCCCGCCCCCCCCCCCCCTCCCATCTGTTGACTCCTTTCCAGCTAAATCTTTCGCCGACGCCACGCACGGCCAGCGAGCCCCTCGCACTGCACAACACGCAGCAGCTGGCACTCAAGGTGGAGGGTGTTATTCAGCACGGCAGCCGGCCCGGCCTTTTCCGGCACGTGCACGCCGTGCGCCTGTCCGTCACGTGCACCCCGCAGGGCCGCCCGCAGCACGACGTGAAGGCAAGGGCATGCTCACGCTTCAGTGAAAACGCTGCTGGGAAACATTCATTACACACACAAAGCGCTTGCCACAAATGAGAACCGCAATACTTCGCCAATCTCGTCAAGGAGTATAAACCGTCACCACGCGAACTCCGGTTATCCTCGCGTCAGCAGCGCAGCGGCTTTTGGCTTGCCATCGACCAAAGATGGTCACCGCATCGCGCGCTTTCAGATGTGCTTCTGTGGCCGTCTGGAACGCTCTTCCACTCTGATATTAGGAAGCCACTGGAGCTATGCACTTTTAAATCTAGATTGAAAACTAATTTCTTGAAAACTGCTTTTTGTGTTTAGTTTGTTGTCTTACCCAAGCATATCCGACTAGCACGGTTGGCTACGTACGGTGTGAAAGAAATTCAACATACGTACATACATCTGGGAAGGCCCAGAGCCCTATGCATGAAATGTTAGTGTCCAGCAGTGATTTAGCTCGTCTAATTTAAATGTATAATAATTTAAGCCCTTTATCAATCCACTGCCGGCTATGGGGGTTTGATCATACTTCACGACGGTGATCGGTGCAGGTTGGATGGCGGGGGGCGGGGGGGGTGTTCAGATTTAACGTGCCACTCTTGTTAACCATTGGCCGGGAATCAAACTCCAGTCGCCAGGTTCATGGTGCAGCGAGCAAACAACTGTTGCCTCCACTCCACCTAGTTTCATCCCAAGTAAAATACATTTTAACAAAATAGCCTTTGTGAAACGTTTAGAAGGGTTGAGATGGGCTACACTGAGATTTGCGTGAAGAAAATAAGAAGCATATCAGAAAGAGAGCCAGGCAAGGAGAGACACTTTCGCTAAAGTTATTCACAGCGCCTTTAGAAGGTGTCCAGAATCATATTTGAGAAATAAAAGGCATAAACAGAGATGTCGAAAATACGATCAGTCTTAAGATTTGCTGGTGACTAAATATGACGGAACAAAAAGTCACGTAGCAACGAGTTCACCACACGTATGAAGATATTTGTTAAAGCAACAGCTGGAACCAGGATCAAAATTATTACATAAAGAGGTGAGCGAGAGCAAGCTGGAGTGCTTTTGGAGCAGTGTACTTGATAATGATGATAGTGTACCAGTGTGCGTAAAGAAGAGAGTTTTTAATCGGTTGCGTTATCAACTGCTTTCACGTATGGATGAGAAACATAAACACAATGACCAAGTGGAACAACAGTTGAAAAGCGCACAGAGAAACAGTGAGAGGTTTTTGCTTAGAATTGTACTGGTACAAGAAAGAGGAACATATAGATCGGAGAAAAAATGCATATTGGAGACAGAATATTTACTGTGAAGTAAAGTGGACTTGGGCGGGATACGTCTTGAGAAGGGAGGATGACCGATGGTCAAAACTGACGAAGAAGTGGCAGCTGAAGGAGGGATCACGCCCAGTAGGATGACCCCCAGAGACAGGGCTATCAAAATGAATTACTTTCCGAGGACAAATGCACATTGAATGCGTTAAAGAATCCAGGCATGTGAACTATTTTCCTTCCTTGTTAAAAAAAAAAAATATTCCCCATCCTAATACTTTCCTGCCACCTCTGTGCTCCCTCGACGTTCGACCGCCTCCCCCCCCCCCACCCTCTTGACTCCACCGCCGCGTCGGCTGAGAAGCCCATCCTGGAGTCAGACTGCGCGGAGATGGAGCAGCGCGTGGAGCCGCACAACGACTACTTCAGCACGCAGTTTCTGCTGGCGTTGGGCACACCCGGCGTGAGCTCTGTGAGCGTGGAGGCGAGCGCACTGGACGAGCGGGGCGTAGCGTGGCGAACGGGCCCCCGTGCCACCATCTCCGTGCGCTCCATGGAGGACCCCCTCACGCAGCAGCTCCGCATGCAGCAGCAGCAGCAGCAACAGCAGCAACAGCAGCAGCAGCACCATCAGCAGCAGCAGCAACAGCAGCAGCAGCAGCAATTGGCGCAGTCGCAGCGGGCAGCCTACGGCAGGTTCTGAGGAGGTATAGACTGCTTACGACCTAGGCCACGTGGGCCTGTTTATAAACTCTGTTCGGCGTGCGCAGACGTGCTGATGATCGTCGTTAATTGCATGTCTCGTCCGGTGAAATTTCGACTCCGCAAACAGTATATTGGGGGATACCTGTAAATACCAAACCGTGCATCGTCACCATGGAAATTGCTAAGTGGAGTGGAGAAGATCCCGTAAAGTGAGGAAAGTTTGTCCAAGTAGACATTCTGCTGTGGATGTATCTGTGACAGGTGCTCTCTCAGCGAGTAGATAAGGACATTGTTGAATTCGTGGCGGCGCATTTGGCTGCGACACCGCCAGGTGGTGCGACGGGAGAGACTGGGAATGGGTTAAACTCTTGTCAAGGTTGCAATGTTACAACTGCGGTAAGTGCTCTGTGCCGAGTTGTATTCTATGATCCGTACCTGCTAAAAAATACTCGCGGATTATTTTGGAAAAAAAGGACTCTTCCTCGCTTGACAAGCACCACCAAATTAAATGTGACAGGAGACGCTGTGGATAGGTGTGTAAAAATTGGTATTTTGAGTGACATTTAAACCACACACGAAGTAAGTATTGAAATACCTTTGTCCATCGTCGGTGTGATCACAGACCATTTGCATTGTATTCTTAGTTTTTTCGGTAAAGTCACGTTGAAGGGAGACAACAAAATAATAAAATATATATTTTGTTGTTTCCCTTCAACGTGACTTTACCGAAAAAACTAAGAATATGAATTACTGCAGTCACGAAAGCTTTAAATCAAAATTCATTTGCATTGTGTTGAGATTTAAGCATAAAACTGAACAGTGTTAGGTTAGAGGCAGTGTGTCCCCAGGCAAGAAAATATAACCCAAAGTATTTAGTATGCATGTAACAATTAACCATTCAATCAATGCAATTTATTCTTCTGACGTAGATGGATACATTTTTGCGTGGAAATAATTGTAATGAGAAATGTATAGTATTGGTTGACCACAAACCCTGCAGAAAATAGATATCCTTGTACCACATTGCTGAAAAAGAAGAATCGATTCTTTAATCGAATCATGGCCCTTGATTCGTAATAATTGAGGCTCGTGAAAGGCAGGGGGAAGGGAGTGAATTGTTACGCGCCTCTTATTTACAAAGAGCCTCCCGTGCATTTCAAAATACAACGGTCTCGTGTTTTCCTCTAGTTATTGTGCATTTCATTCAACATTTGAGATAGTGATTGCTTTCATGTGTGTGTGTTTGTCGGGAGGAGTAGTGTAGCAGTTAAGTGGGCTGCACAATGATCCCGGCGACCCGAGTTTGATTCCCGCTCATGGCCACCAACACCAGTGACGATTATTTAAACCGGTCCAGGGCCTCCCTTAGGTTGACTCAGCCTCAAATGAGTACCTGGTATGATGTGTGAACATCGCCACTAGGGAGACAAAGGCGGCCTGGTGTGGTGCTGACCACCTCACCACCTCGTGTACCTTGCCGGCCTTCATAGGTGCTCGCGAACAGCACTTGCCCCAACAATCTGTTAAGGCTATGCAGGGCATTTTTGTATAATTAATGTGAATGTGCCTTCAGTGGCACAACAATTCACTCATAATTAGAGCCAAGAAACTTAAAACTGAAACTTTGTGTTTTTTATACATTGTTTGCAACGTCAACTAAGCTCTCGTACATCGATAAATTGGCGATGTTTTTGAGTTGCTGGATGTGTCGGTTTTTTTGGCAACAGATTTTTAGTGTTTGTGCAGGGAAGCCACCAGCATTACTGATTCCTAGTTCGGTTAATTAGTAAAAAAACAAGCTTATTATCTATTTACATGGTAACGTTTTTAACATTCATAAATTATTTTGTAGAGCAATACATGAATTGGTACATAAATCATGTACAGTTTCAAGTCGATACATGAATATGTATTTGTCACTAGATAAGTAATTTAAAGCAATAACGAGGGTGGTTGCAACACTCTTGAGTTCATAGTTTGAGCATTAAAACATTTATTTGGACGTAGTTTTACCTCCAATCTCTTCAAGTCGGGACTTCACTATTCCTGAAAACCCATAGATACTTAAACGCAAACACCCTTAAAGCTCAAGGAGTGCATGTCTAAAAACTGATTCTGAGCAGATAGGGTTCCAGCGAAATTCAGTGAGGGTGATGAATGCATTGGATGACACCGGACATTGCGTCGCGGGTGCAATTATCATGGCACTCAACCCCATTTTTTCCAAATTGAGGTAAGGCTCAGGGCTGCAGCTCATTCAACCGTAACAGCACTTAAACGCTTAGGTTTGTCTTGCTCAAGGCTGGTAACGTGTATTTGAACGTTTGTGGCTGGAATTGTGTCTCCAATGCACACAGTCACCCCCCCCCCCTCTCCAAAAAAGCTAATGTAAGTGACTTGCCCTTTTCCAGAACAAATACACATCCCGCATTTAGCTTTAACAGACGACCAGGATAAGTGCTGTTAGCAAGGACCTATGAAGGCCGGCACGGTACATGAGGGAGTGGGTGGCCATCGCCACGCCCGACCAACTTTATCTCGTGGCGATGTTTACTACACACCGCATCAGGTACTCGTTTGAGGCTGAGTCGACCTAGGGAAGGCCCAGGACCGTTTCAGGTAATTGTCACTGATGTTGGCCGTGAGCGGGACTGGGACTAGTGTAGATTCTTCAACACCGCTGCACAGATGGTGTTCCGCAGGGTTCCGTTTTACCATTCTGTGGACGCAATCTTTGTTTCAGCGGTGCCTAGTGCCACGCACACACAGTCTGCTATCGCCATAGAGCAAGCACTAAGCGAAATTTATAAAACATAAAAGAAACATGTCACTATCTTCAACTAACTTCTGCACTGGAAAATCCCTTAATGTGTTTCTGCATTGCTATATTTAAAATATTTAAAAGCAATTATAATCACTCTTGACGCCGCGTGCAAATCTGTTCTTCAGGCTGCCTGGCAGTTTTCACTAATTTCCCCGTATTATTACCAAATGTACGTGCAAATGCTGCGCTAAATTCCGCGAACAAATGTTTTTTTCCACAAATGAATCCGGTGTGTTGATCGTCGTCGTCGTCGTGATGCGTGCAGCATCCCTCTGAATCCGGGCGGTAAAATATCACCTGACGTCGCTTTCGATTGGCGAGACGCTCCGGTCTCCGGGGAGGCTCTGCAGCGACACGAACGCGTCCGCGTGGCGCGAGCGCCGCCGCTGCTGCTGCTGCTTCTGGTGGCACTGAAACGAACGCGGCACCGAGTCCGTCTGAAACTCCAGGCCCATCTCCATCCCCAGGGTGGATGGCAGCGGCGATTGAGGGCACGGCCGGATGGGCCCGGAGCCGGAGGGGGCGTCCACGGTGGAGGACGAAGCTCGCGAGGCCGCCGTCCCGCGGGGTCCCGCGTCCCCGTCCGCGGGCCCGGCCTCTCGCCGGGACCTTCCGCACCCCTGCTGCCCCCGCCGCCGCCCCCGCCGCCAGTGGCTCGCATAGGTGGCGACCTTCATCCCGACCGCGACGACGTTCTTGCCGAGGAAGACGGCGGAGACGCGTGGGTCGCGGTACAGCAGCACCTGCAGCAGGCGCACGAGCACCGTGGCGCCATTCACGGCCACGAGGCTGAACACGGGGTAGAGCAGCAGGCGGTGGGGCACCAGGCTCTCGCCCTGCACGCTGATCTCGCTTAGCGAGACGCACGGCAGCACGAGCATCACCGTGTAGCAGTAGAAGAAGGTGAGTCCCTCCACCCAGGGTGGAGGAGGAGTCGTCCTCTGCTGTTGCTGCTGCTGCAGTTGTATCTGCAGGGCGGCCGCCGGCTCCCACAGGCTTGCCTGCACATCCAGCACATCCAGCAAGTCCACCACGACCCAGAAGATGCGGCTGCGGAGGTCCTCCTTCTTCCAGAACGCCCGCACGTACCCCATGTGGTCGACGGCGACCAGCGCGACGTACAGCGCGGGGACGCACACGGACAGCAGCAGCGTGAGCAGCTTGCGCGCCGTACCGTCGGTGGCCGGCGACGAGGAGACGGTGCGCTCCGAGCGGTAGTTCTGGAACACGAAGTAGAGCTTGATCTCGAGCACGAACACGTAGAGGAACCAGAGCGCCATGGCGTAGGCGCGCTTGGCGGTGCGCACCTCGGCGCCCACCCACACGGCGAGGTAACGCAGCAGCACGAGCACGCACACGTCGCCCACCAGCAGCATGATGCACACGCCGACGCGGCGGGGGCCAGTGTTCTGCTGCACCAGGTAGGCGTCCACCAGCACCATGCTGCCCACCACCAGCGCCGTGAAGACGCACACGTGGCCGCGGTCCGGCGACGGCAGCACCATGGCGGGGACGGGAAGGGGAGGGGGCACGGCGGCGGGGGTGGGGCCCACGCTGTAAAAGCCAAGAGCGGAAAGCGGACGACGAGTGAGGAGAAGGGCCTTAGAGGGTGGCAAGTTTGTGGCCGAGTGGCTCGCGGAGGGCAGAGCTGGCACCGGCTGAGATTGTGAGTTCGAATGGAGGCGGCCGCCGCTGATTAAATCGGGCTCTCGTGCAGCGAGCCGATGTGGTGCCGGCCCAGTCACCGGCGACTGTGTACTGGCTTTGTCTTTTGGTCTCATGCTGCCCACCTGTAAGGGTGTCTGTATGCACGTAACCGATCAAAATCGGTCCTGGCTATCGTATAAATCGAATCATGCCTGGAAGAATCGATCATTTCCAATTCATGTTTGTTGTATGTAATTAGTTCAAGTGAAATCCTCAGCCACTAGACATTACACATGCACCACAATGACAAAAAATGTTTATTCTAAAATCGAAACGTCACACTGCCGAATAATGACAATTCATCAAATTGGTCTGGGAGCAAATCATCACATGCCGAATGTTTATTTTTCGCCTGGATTTTACAAATCGTGATGTGTACAGGACGGAGTATCGTAAGGGGCAGGCACGCGGTGACTTGTTCTGAGAGATTGATACGTCAATGGGTTATCCACGTCTGTACAGCAAGTAGGCTGATCTACGTGACAAAGAGTTTGAGCGTTCTCCCCTTGTGTTCGTTTTGGTGATGAATTTCACATTTTTATTGTTTTCATGGCCAATTGTTTATATTTGCAGGGTGGATTATACGATCGCTTAAATTGACTTTAAAAGCCAGTTTGAGTAATAAGATTAATAAAATATTTACCGAACAGAGGTGACAACGGTGTTTGGAACGTCGTTTGTGTGCGACTAATGAGTTGCCACGATCAGGGGTGGGGGAAGTCACGATTCTTTTCAACGGAACTCTTTGATTTCAGCTTCACCGTATCATTTATGCCGTTTCTCAATTCTGCGGCACTAAGTTAGCCTGAAAGTGACGTTTGCACATCACTTGCATGTAACGGTAATTAATCGATTTTCGCACAGCGCTGTCTTGACGATTTGTGTTCGCGTTGGCATCGATTTAAATCGACGAATCGATTCCCCCTGCCACATGCCCAGTGCTTTCGTTAAAAGCGTTCCACGATAGGTTTTTCATATCCAATTTGAGAGCAGCAGGACGACCGTTGGCCCCGTGTATTGAACGCCACCGGATATTGAAGAGTCCCAGGAGGAGTCGCGTCACCAAGTGGCCAAAAGCAGTTGTTTAAGCGAGCGTGGATTTACGCGTGCAATTCACACTCCGTGCCTTGGCTCGCGTGGGTGTGCACACTCGGGAGGCAGCCGAACCTGGTGCATTTGCTAATCGAACATCGGCCTTTACCATCGACGCAACGAAGTGGTCGGAGGTGTGGAGTTGGCGCGCGACGTAGCTATCGTAGTGTGGCCAGGGCAGTATTGGCACGTCGTTTTAGTCCGTAGATATCAGGTTTTTGTCCATCGCCAATGAGAAAGTCCAGACAGTAGTCAGATAATGGGCCCCTGAAATGTGAGTTTTGGAGAGAAATCATTCTTTTACAACAACAAAAATAAACTGGCCAATGTCGAAGAATATTTAGGTTTATTATTTAGGTTTATTTCTATGTACAAACAAGGTCTGCGATAATTAACCTTTTTGAAATAGCTTTTAAGTATCTTTTTAAAAATAAATTAACTCTGGAGGGTTGTGTTTTTTTTTATCTAAGGTACTGTCCGTAACATTGCTCACGATACATAGCAATGTTCACAAAGAGGGTTAGATAGCACACCGTGCGGAAACAGATCACGCGGTCACGGGTACCATTGTCCAACCCCAGCCTTGACCCACCGCCCACATCACCGCTGCTGATTCAGGGCTCCCGCGATAGATTTATTGCTGTTTACCCCTGCCGCTAAATAATCTCCGGCGCCGTTGTACATACGTGCATGCAAATAAATGAACACCGCTCTTAGTCTGCGTACCTCCTATAATCTCTCATGGTTGCCACTGACCAGATAGTGATAGCGAACCTCGTTGCTTCCCCGACCCTTCGTCGGTCCTGTATTCGCTCATCCGATTAGCACGGTTGGCTACGTACGGTGCAAAAGAAGTTATACGTACATGCACATCCACACAAGCGCACGGCTTGCATGGCCGTTTGATGTCACACGGTCCGCATTTTGTGTTTTTGAAGGATCGTTACGGCTGCCGAGTTTGGAGTTTGTTTCGCGGCGTCCCGCCTGCAATGCCGTTGTGTGAGCCACGGTGTGGAAGGTACAGCCGGGGACGGACTCAGCGGGAGCACAAGCGGGTCACGCGCATAGCGTACCCCGCGTCCAAATGAACGAAACCCGTGAAAGATTAAATGCCATATTTTAGTTATATACTTGGGGATATATGTTTTCTTCGCCCCTTAATCGATGTGTGGAAATAAAAATTGGTAATTTTAAACACCCGATATGTTTGCCGTGTTTTTAGTGGGGTTTGGTTCAGTCGGGTCGGAAACGTGCAGCCGGTTGTGTCGCAGCCACCAATCATCTCCCACTCTCCTTCCCAGCCCGCTCGCAAATGTAAAATAAATAAATAAAGCTGCCTCACCCTCGGAACATTTTTTTTAATTAAAGCGCAAATCCCTTCCTTGCTCGGGATACAAATGACCACGATGGTTCGGCTGCTGTTGCCATGCAGGAAATAATAGAACAAGAAAAGAGTGGAGTGCTTTAATTTAAACCACATGTCCTGGTCAGCTGAACCGAAAGAGCGATGCGCTGCTATGAGACTCTAATGCACACAGACACTCGTCACACTGCAGTCAAACAGAGGCTTGTGGAATGTTCAAAAATAACTTTGGACAGTTCCCACTCTTAAAGCCGCGTGCTTTTATGTGCAGTGAAAGGCCATGTCGGAAACTGAATTTCAAAATGTGATCGCTCCTTTTAAATGTGACAACTGCCAATATGTATGAAGATTCTCATTTCCTGTGTTTTTTAATATATTTAGGAGTGAAACATGTTTTGTACTGCAAGCTAGTATTGGATTATTATTCATGAGGTTCAATTTGCAGTCTTCATCGTAAATTAACATCCAATGGGGGGGGGGGGGGAAATATGGTGATAGTCTGTTTTCTATCATGCATTTTTGTATTTCTTTCAGCAGAATCAGGAACATTCATTCGGAGAAGTATTAAAATTCAGCACATTGGTAATTCTGCCTTAAAATTCCCTTTGTTTCAAACGCGAGGGCACCAGGTGCTCCTAAGTGTATTGGCCAACAGAGGGAATTGAGAGGAGGACTTCTCAAGAGCCGTTTGCGTGGGGAATGCATAACCGCATGCGACTGCGCTCCATTCGGATGCAGCGGAAAAGGGCCGAGGTGCTTTTGAATGGGAATCTGCATCGGGATTCATGGGGGCCCCCGTTGTGTGGTGTGTGGCAGTTCGTTTTACGTGGGCTGCCGGGCAGCTTGAGAGCCCTGGCGTCGTGGCTTTTGGGTCCACCGTTGACAGATGGGACACGCGGTGCTGAAATCTTTTGCTAGCCTCTCTCAAACTTTTGTCTTCGGTGTGTCCAATTTGTGGGGTTTTTTTGTTTTATTTCCTGGATGGATCTACGGCGCATGCATAATGCACGGCACATCTGTTGAACCGGGGAAAATTTAATACCTCTGGATGTAATTTGTTTGCGCGTTCGCTCGGCCACCGCCAGTGGTAGATGCAATGTAAATACGCATCCACTGCGTACACCAGGTCGCCCCGGGCGAGCGCAGAGCCGAATGGCATTGTACGGAGGCCCTCATTTCTCATCGCGTTAAGTCATCAATCGGTGACTGCTCCGAATTTAAAGCGAATCCGCGTGTTCTTGGCTTCTTTTACACCGCCGGTTCCGATTAAAGCGTCGCCGGCGGTTTAATGATCTGGACCGAGCGAGCAAAATTGATGTCGGGTGTGCGAGCTCACCTGCGAGCAGAGCTTGCAGCAGCAGCTGCAGAAGCTGTCCAGAGCCTCCCTCTTGGCGATCCAACCGCCCAGCGTGGAACGGCACCTCGAGGCGCGCCGCTAACTGGCCGTCCGTCTCCCGAGCCACTCCGCCTTGCTCCGCGGTGTCTGCATTTGTTCCACTTAAAGCAGAGTGCAGAACCGCCTGCTGCAACCCTGCCCCCCCCCCCCACCTCTCCCTCCCCACCTCCCGTCCACGAATCTCCGCTACTAACTCCTCCCCGTACGATCGGCGCCTCCCAGCTCTGTGGCCACCACTTCCCACGGGATAATGCATTTCACTGCCACATTTGCAACGACTCGCGAGCGGGGCAGCCTTTCTTGGCAGCAGCTTTCTCTCCGCCTGATGAAGACAGCTTGTATTGCGATCGAACCGTCGTGTGTTTTTTGCTTTTATTATTTAAAATATATATTTACGTGACTTTACCGAAAGAACCAACAATATGAATTCCTGCAGTCACGAAAGTTTTAAATCAAAATTGAGGATATTTATATTTGTTGGTCTATAGGCGGTTGTCTTTTATGTAAATATAGACTCTGGTCTCGAGTGTAATTGTGCTTTGGAGCCACACTTTATTTTGTCGTGTGGAACGCCAGCCTGTGAATGGTCTTCTTTGTGTTTGTGCTTTTGTAGCGCTTGCAATGTTGGCTTCTATATAAGCACACACACCCACACAAATCCAGCAGTCATTAAGTTGAGAATTTAAATAACGATAATTATAATAACTGTGCGGCTTAGTTATTTGTCTTGCGAAAAACCCTGAACACGGAATGTAATTTCAATCCGTCAAAGTCTGTGAAAGTAAAAGACAATATTGTGCACAAATGTAATGAGTGAGAAAGAAATGGTAATTCCTCCTAAGCCGTGAAGTAATGGAGCTTATCTGGATTTGCTACCGTCCTGTTTAATCAGATTAGGGAAACACACCGTTGCAGAGGACAACTTTTGACCTGTAAAGGGAACGGAGGATGGGGTGGTAGGGGAGGAGAGGCATTTGGCGTGACAAGGGGGTAAGTTTAGGGGGCACTGTCAATTTCCATCACCATCCTTCACCATAACTCTTGAGATGCCATTGCCTCGCGGTCTCGGGCTCATAGCTCGGGAATGGCCACGGCGCCATCAATCTTCATTCCTCCACAAGAGGCAAATGTGCTCGCAGGAGTGACAAAATCCAAATAAAACAATCCACACGCACTGTCAATATCATACGCTATTTAGATGTTACGATATATATTTTTAAAAATACGAATACCGGACGATTTGGTCTCCTTTCGTCGACTAATTCCTGGTCTGATTTTTCCAACATGCCATCTCATCTCATCATTCTTCGAGTCCCCTGCCTTTCTCCCCTCTCTCTCTATCACCTCCGATTATTCTCCCCCTTTCTCTTGCCCCCTTTCCACTTGTTTCCTGTTCCTTGGATCACATCTGTGTGACACAATGGTTGTGTGCGTCAGCCGTACCGATGGTGATGCGCCTTCTGGTTCCTTTCACTTCTGTACCGTCCTTGACTATGATTAGGATGTTCGCATTTTTTTTATCAAGCAGCGCCATGAATAGCTTTAAGGGTTTAAGTTAAAAATTGGGAGCCGAGGTTAAGAGTGTCGAGCCAAGGACTTTTCTGATGACCCGCCTTGAGCACGACGTGTTGGCGCACAATTTCTGCGGTTGTAGCTGACGGCGACGTTCGCGTGTTCCGCGTTTTTCTATCGCACAGTGCCGTGGCTGAGTCTTACGCAACTCTGCCGTCGGCCAGGGGAGGCAAAGTCACGGTATTTCAGGTCGTATCAAATACGTATTAACGGTGGGCACGTAAATAGTCGAGTCGTAGCTCAGAGGAGTTTGTCTGGGGTGGCACTTAAACTTTGGATGTCTCTCCCGTTATAAATTATGAAAATTGGCTCTGCTGCAGTACTAGAGGCACTTTTGAGGAGTGGCTGGGTCAATGGTTGGCTAGGTGCAGCGCGAAAGAAGTTAAACATACATGCATTCATAAGCTGCAAGACAAAATATCGACGCTGCAGAAACAATGTATACGAGGAATAATTGATTGATACAAATTAATAACGAGGGATTTTTTTCTCTCACTGACAGGAAAGCAAGATACCGAGGTTTTGGCTGGCTGCCTTCTTCAGGAAAGCCTCATTGAGTCTCAAGCATTTCTTTCAGGGGGGTGCTGCTGCTGCTGCTGCATGGGGGTGGTTGGTCAATTTAATTCGTGAGTATTTGTCCTGTGAGAAGGTAACCAGAGAACCAAGAGAAAATGTATCCGGCATATGAATGGGGTAACGCTCAAAAGCTTCACACAGATGTATTCAAGAATCCACTCCTGAACTGACATCAAGACCACAAACCACACATATTTAAGGAATGACTTTCAATTATTATCTTCCATTAATTTCGTTATCGTTGTCTAAGTTCAATGAAGCAGTAACAGCAGAAGGCCCTCAATGACGGGAAGAAAAACATGCTGTCTCCATCGGCATTCATCCAGCAGTGAATAGATCGTGGTAGGACGACGAATGTCATCGTCTGTTCGCGTGCCAAACGCTTTGAGCCCAATCCGTGAAGGGCACTCAAAAAATGCAACGACGACCACATCTCCGCTACTTTTCCCCGATCACGCCTCAAGCCACTCTGCCCGAAGCCTTAACGGTCAGGAGGTGCGAATCGCCGCTTCATTACACAATACGGCCGTGATTTATAGAGCATCAATATGCAGGTGCATCTTGAGACGCCGTACGTTAAGTGGGGCATGCAGATCGCTGCGAGCCACTGAACACAGACCATATACATGTGCACATATAGAGGGGGGGATTAGTGTTGAGAAAGGACGTGCACATAGGCAGAAGTCAGCTGGATGGATGGCCATCATACTGACGCATTATGCTGTCGCTGTAATGCACAACTAGAAACAGCACATTACTACTAAAATGACAAAAGTCGACAACCAGAATGGTTTTGTTGGTGTCGGCAACAATTTATGTTCAGATATACATTTACTCCTTCAATAATTGCCCGAGTTAATACAAAACAAAACGGACGACAACAGGGTTGGAGTGCTCTTGTAAAACTGAGCTTTAAATATGAAAAGTGAATGCGTCCCAAAGAAGATGTTTTTCAATGGGTGCATAATACCGTGACATGGATCACTTACAAAGAAATTTTGATCTAAAGCTGAGAAGTCCATAAAGAATCGTGGAGAGAAGTGCATATTTGGAATTACACCAAGAGACAGAGGTCCACGTGAATTAGCAGACAAATGCCAAACAGAGCTCTGGTATTGACCGTTAAGTAAAGTAATTGGGCTTCATTGGAAGCGATCGTGACCGATGGTAAATGATGGCAATGGAATGGCAGCCAACGGAGAGAAGATGCTCGTCTCTGTGTGCCGGCCCTCCCACAGGTCGACTCGGCCTCAAATGAGTAGCTGGTGCGGTGTGTAAACATAATTTTACATTGAAAACTCACTTCTTTAGAACTGCCTCTTGCGTTTAGTTCGTTTTTCCTCCCTCCGCACCTCCGATTAGCACGGTTGGCTCCGTAGGGTGCGAAAGAAGTTCAACATATTTACTGCACGGAGGAGTGAAATCGTCTCGCGTGCGGGAAGCATATTGATCGTTGCATCGCGAGAACATGAAAGATTGATTTGTCCAAGCCTACATCCAACAGTGGATAGCTCATGTGTACTCGCGATAACCGAGGCTAGAAGGGAGTTACGCATTCAAACGCGTGCAGCAAGTCCTCGTTCAACGCGGTAGATGCATTCCTGAAAAGTGCCGCGTTAAGCGAGACACGCGTTAAGCGAAAGCAATTTCCCCCATAACGAATGCAACGATGAAAGTTTGGCAAGATACGATGTACTACTACGCACACGCAGTGAGATGGCGGGACAAATCACTGAGGGTACGCCTGCCCGCGTTACTGTATCATTCCTCTTAGAATATCATTCCGCTAGGGCGCCCAGTTCAATAAAATATTTCGTTGTCGACCGCTCAGAAACAGCGTGGGGTGCGCGTTCCGCGTTATAACAGGGTGCGTGTTCCACGTGATAACAGGGGGGGTAGGGGCTGGATGCGTTCCACGTTGTGCGAGAAAGTGTTCCCTAGTGGAAGAACCGCATTGTAACAAAAACGTGTTCGTTATGGTGTGAACGCGCTTTTAGCGAGGACCTACCGCGCTTACTCACGACGTTAAGACACGTTGACTTCCTCTTGGCACAGATGTGCCGCATCCTTAGGTCTGAAAAATGTTCCAATCCCCCCACCCACCCACCCCCGGTGAGAATCGAGATGTCTCACGAACTCTGCGCACCTTTGTTTGACTGCCAGTGGAATCTGCCGCTATTTACAAAAGGGATACGGTTGGTCGGGAGCGGAGGGAAAGAGTTTGGTGAACGAAAACCGACCGCGAAGACCGCCAAAGTTGGCGGTGCGAGAAGCGGATTTTATTTCAACGCCGGCGCGCATTCAATCAGGCGTGCGGCGACGCCGCTGCCGATACGGACACCGGGAGACCAACAACTAGACAAAGAGTTAAATTGGGATGCCTGTTCGGAGCGGTCGATAGCAGGGCGTCTGAAGGAGTTGAATTGAGACCGCAGAGTGATTTGTTGCTGCAGATCCCTTTTAACCGCTTCGGTGACGACAAATGCCAAAAAATTGCTGCCCATTTTTTTTTATATATAGAAGAAATAATACCCCCCCCCCCCTTGTAACCACATGGTAGCGAAGAAAAATATTCCGTTTATTCGGGGTTCTGTCTGCAGAGTTCAGGTGAGATGAAGTCAAAATGTTTTGCTGGCAAAAAAAAAGCAACACGGATATACTCGGCAAGACTGTATTATTAAATGGAATTGGGTTTTTGTGTGTGTGCGTCGTATAAAAGGGATTGTTCGTAATTTTTATTTGGTTTAGTCTTCATTTTAGATGTATTCATGCCAAAAAAATCATAACAACACCAGCAGTGTGTTTTGTGATTTAAAAAAAACACATTTGAGAAGACGTTTCACGCAAACATCGGACCACGTTGACGAAGAACTGATCGCTTTCGCTCCGGGTCCGCTCTGTTCACCTCCACACACACGCGCGCGTATCTCTCCAGCAGAAAAATGAGTTTCAGGTGCGATGGACATGTGGTTGCAGAATGGTAAATGAGGCGGTGGTTGGTGTGG